TGCCTGGCGCTGCAATTCGCTGTTTGGCCCTTCGATCGTGGCAACATGGACATCCTCAATCGATCTGAGCTGCGTGGGCTGCTGGTATGGTTCGTGTCGCTGCTCGTCATGCAGTTCGTTGTCATGCTGCCCGAGGGGACCTCTCTGGTGCTGCCGATCGGCCTCGTGCTGGTTGTCATTCTTGCCAATCTGGCGCATTATATTCTGCTGGCCGCGCAGATATGTCGGTATGGCCTGCTGCAAGTCGGCTACAGATACACGGCCCTCACCGACCGCGAAAAGGCTATCGGTAGGCAACGGAAGAGCATCCAATCAGCACGCTCGATTCCATCTGGCTGCTTGTGTCCCCTCAGCCCGCGTGATGTCCGGTCGTGTCACGGGCCCTCTTTTGTCGTGGCTCATCAACAAAGAGGAGGAGAAACGGCGCATCTCACCGAAGGTCTTCTATGACTGGTCCAGTGCTGCCCTCTCTGCCGACGGTCCCCCCGCTGCATCAGGGGTTTGCCATCCGTCTTTCGGGTGGCCAGTACATCGTGCGGTGACAGCCATGCAGCTGACGTCAGCCGCCATGCAGGACGCCACCGAGAGACTCAAACTCACACACGTCCCCAGCGACTTGTAAGCATACCAACACGCGCCGCGATGTCTTCTGCTGTCTGTGTGTATGTGTGTGTTTGGTGGTTTGGCCAGCCATGAGTTTCTGTGGAGCCACGCCTTCCTGGTGCACGGCCTGCGGCAGAAGCGAGTGGAGATGCGCAGCCGTCGACGAGGCCATGTGGTCGTCCATCTGCCCAGACCCGACGACCGCACAGTGACGGTGAGGCGAAGGACAGAACACCCCCCGTCTGTACGGTCGATCGGCCTCTGTGTGTCCCCAGGGTCTGCGGCACATGCGGACGAGCGACCTCTCCAACGTATTTCGCATTCAACGCTCTAGCGACGGTCGGTTTACTGCATGGATCATGATACGTAGTCCACTGATTTGTGTGATAAGTTATCACGGGATGGTGATGTGTGCAGTATCGACCCAATCGGACGCCGGCAAGACGTCCACTGATGAACCAAGCGACCAGCCGGAGCCCTCAGACGTTTCTGCGGGCATCACGTTGCACGACCTGCAGGTCGGTTGACACACACACGACACACTCAACGTGTGAGTCGTCGTCGTATGACCCTTTGGCCTGCTGCAGGCCAACCTGTGCTATGTGGTGGACGAGCTCGTCACGAGAGAGCAGATGCATCAGGCGGCCCTCAGCCGGACGGTCGACAGCAGCGATATCGAGAACGCCGACACCGAGGCACTGACAGACCACCGGCAGCATACTGGCGGCTGGCGTGGGCTCTATGAGGCGTTCCGCAAGGCCAAACGGACGCTCATCGAGGCGGGCAGCCAACCGGTCAGAGAGAGACGCTTAGTCGTCGTCTGCGTGTGTACTTATACCCACCTGTGTCATTTGTCCCACTGTCTGCAGGATGCGATTGCGGAGGTGCTCGCGAGCCTCCCGCCCACCGTGGTGGAGACGCCATGTGACGATGCAGCAGAGGACGTGCTGATGAGCAGGGCGTCGTCGCCTGTCAGTTCGACCCGATCGCCGCTGCAGAGCGATTTCCACACCGCCGCCCTGACACCCCCCTGCCATCTCATCCGTGTCGATTGGCATCGGCTGAGCAGTGATGAGAAGGACAGCGTGGACGTGTCAACGTCAGCAGAGGCCGGCTACGATGAGTGCAGTGGCCTGCCTCTCCCACTGGGTGCAGCCGACACTAACGGCTTGTGGTGATCCATATGGCAGAAGCGTCGTAGTCGACGAGTGTTTTCGAATGTAGCAGCTGTATCGTAGGTATCAGGTCGTCTTGTGTGCTTTGGGTGATACGGGGCAATGAATACACTCGATCTGTGAGCGAGCGGTACACGCGTCCCTGTACTTGGAGGCCGAACTGCAGTGCCACCTAGCTGATTCCATTGCATCGTATGCATCGTTGCCACTGGGTCATATTTCCTCTGTCACCGTACGGCCACACGACGCGTAATCCACGCGTCGGTGTGCCTGGTGGCTGCATACACAGGCAGAGTAGGATCGGATGTAGTGTACCCTGTATGTCCTTTCATACGTATTATGCGCATGGCTGAGGCACCACCCGACTCATCGACCACACGCACGTATTTGTCACGCCGTCATTGTCCCTCCGTTTTTGGGGTTGCACTGCGTGTCCGTGGTTTACACGACGTATAAGGGGTATCTTGTTCACATCGTGTGCAGTGTACATCCATTCGAATGTTCGTCTCGCGCTCAAGCGGAGCGTATGTGAGCACCGGTTCCGTGCGTCATGACTGTGAGTGTGTGTGTGTGTGGCTTCAATCATTGAAGACCCCGGCTGAGTGAACGAGCTGACAATATACACAATTCAACCATACCATGGCCATGGAGCCGCCAAAACACACAAGCGGTCCATCCATCCATTCATCAATCATCGGCTATGGGCACACACATACACACGTACGTACGGGTCCGTTGTCGGTCCGTCCGTCTGCACACCCACCCGTGACAACAATGTTCATCCTGCCTACACGTACACAAACGCACACACGCACACACGTGTCATGTGAATGCGTATGTAAAGCCCTTCCCTCTCTCCCTCTCTCTCTCTCCCCCCCCCCTTGTATGTGTGTGTGTATGGGTACCTCTTGGGGCTGTCCTCATTGAGACACGTGCCGACCACCTGATACATGGAGAGACACGGATTGGCACGCTTCAGCGCACACGCTGTGCCAAGCGCGGAACACGCTACTGCTGAAGGTTTGTTTGAGGTGTGTTTAGCTATTTTAAGTGAGCATCTCGTTTCTGATCAAGATGGTCCTCCTGTCATTATCGACAGCCGTCATCTCACTAGTATTGCTATTCGCCACATCACCACCACCACCACTACCACTACTCTCTAGAAAAGGCGCTAGCTGGTTCACCCATACATACGATACAAGGCACGTCAATCCGAAGACGAACTCGGAATGCGATATGCGGCAACATTAACAGCAACCATAACACCAACATGGAGCACAAAAGCAAAGCTATCAATACATGTCTTGAGCGAGTACCTTCACCCCACTGATCGGTACATGGCGGGAAGAAGGACATGCAGCTACAACTACACACACACGTACGCGACGCAACACCTTTCTCACGGCATCTCTCAGGGATGCAGCGCGCCGATTGCGCGATCCCGTGCCCGTGCAGTCAGCTACTGAGAAACCGTCTCATCACACAGACCACGACAGCACCGCACCAGCTCAGCGACCAGTAAGATTCCCATGTATACCCACCAGATCAGCATATGACCGGCCAATGCTGACATGCACAGTAGTGGCAGCACGACACACCAGTCTGCCACACGGTACACGGCTTTGCCTGCCGCTTGCAGCGCGTCGCGTGCCTCTGCTTGAAGCGCGGCGTTTGCCTCCTCGAGGTCGTGGTCATGCTCGCCTTCACGCTCCACAATTTTTACTTCATCAAAGATCCGGAGCAGCATAGCGATCAAAACCCCACCCACCACAGCACAAATGATTATCAAACGGCGCTCCACAAAAAGATGATCATAGTGGTAGGGAACGTAGCCGAGTAGACCCGGTGTCGTCAGCAAATATCCGATGTGTGCCGGCGAGTAGAAAGTGCCCTTTGGGTCGTGGGCACCAGATGACTTGGCCACGACGGCCATCCAGTCGGAGTACGAGCCCAGGCATGACCCCCCGAAAAGCGATGCCACGACAAGCACGACGATCCAAGCCACAAGGGAAGAATTGTTGGAAATTGTGTAACAAACACCCTTGACGCACACGTCAAGGGAAGAAGGGCCACCACTGAGGAACACTGCAAACAGCACCGGCACGAGGTACCACAGCTGATGGGTCAAGATGAGCGTGTAGAAGTCATCGTGGCGGAACTGAAGGCAGCACAAGAACGAGGAGAAAGGGCACACAAAGCAAGGATGGTTGGACCCTCTTGTGCGCGTGTTATTCTTATCTCACCCATCTGGTGTCTGGCAGAGAGGCGCGAACGTGACGAGAGGAGTCACCAGATTCTGGCGTGACAAGGGGGGTCAAGAGGGAACCACGAGCTGCCTCCATATGAAGAAATGTAAGCGATGAATGGATGCCGAGGGGCAAGCGTGATGATGCCCCCGGACAGCTCGTCGACAGCCTCCTCCTTTCTCTCTTCCCTTTCCCTGTCTTCTCCCCTCCTCTCTCCAGCTCGCCCTCTAAGCTCGCAGGCAGAAGTGGCAGAAAAATCGGTCGGAAAAATAAAGGCCTCAAATGCCATTCGGGTTGCAATCTTCTTCTCGCATCTGCGGTTCAGCTACTAGCACTCCCGACGCGAAGATCTGGAGTTCTGGAGTGACTGCTTCCTCGACAATGATGCAGCAGCTGAGATGGGACTCGTGTCAATGAATGCACCTTCTCATATCATCGCTTTGCGCCGCTTTTGCTTCCATTTCATTCTCTGCAGGCTGCAGCCGAAGGCTCTCGCCTCTGCGGCTCCTGCGCCATCTGTCGGGCAAGAGGGAGGGTGGAGAGCACCGTCTGTTGACAGATGGCGTCGACATGCCGCCACAGATCACCGCGGGTCCTCAACGTCGAGCATCGTGTTCGTGCGCAGCAGCCTCCGGTCAAGAGAGTCAAGGCAGCATCAGCAAAAACCGACAACGCTGCCCCAACCACCCTTCGGACGCCTCAGCGCAATGCAGCGAAGAGGACAGCGCAGCCGTCCTGGTCTTCTCAGCTCGATGTGCCGGACATCGTCGCTGCCAGTGGGAGAGGAAGGACCAGTTCGACAGCCTCACTTGTGACCGATGTGAACCTCGCCTGGCACAAGAGGGACCCACACGAACTCGATGCGCTGTTCGAAAGGGTGCTTGTCTCATTCCCGCTTTTATCGGCTGTCGATTTGGCGACTACGGCTCACAACTTCTGCAAAGGCCATGTCAAGAACCACGCCCTGTGGGTGCGTTTCTTCCGGCAGCTGGCTGCACGAGCAGGTGAGCTGTCAGCCCGAGATGTGTCGCTGATGCTCAACGTGGCGACACGAGTGGGCATCCATCCGCGGCACCTGGACATGACGGAGCCCCTCGGCCCCGAGGACCCGTCACCTCTGCAGCTGCTGGCTGAACAGAGCGCTCGATGTGCGGGAGAGATGTCCGAACAAGGTGGGTGGGTAACTGGGGACGGATTGACGGCGGCCAGCATCGTGCCTGTCAATGTATGTTTGTCTGCATGTCAGGACTGGGATTGACCATGAATTCATTATCCAAGATATGGGGGCCCGTGACGGCGAAGAAGGCAGCAGCAGCAACAACAGACGGCAGCAGCGACGAGACTCAGCATGATCTCGTGAACAGCCGCCCTGTGCCTGTATGGCTCCACAACGTCCTCGCGACCCTGACGGTCCACATCCACAGCAAGGCCGCTGGCCGTCTGTTCAGCGCTCCGAATGTGGCCAATGTTCTGCTCAGCTACGGGCGCTTCGGGTACCAGCCCCGTGAGTGCATCGAGGCGGTGATCGGGCTGATTCCGGACGTAATTGGCGAGATGACGACGCAGAACCTGGCCAATGTGGCCACTGCACTGCCGGTAGGGATGGGCTGGCTGATGGAGGGAGATTGGGAGGCTGGAGTGCGTATGTGCGTCTGTCTTGTTCTTTCTTTCTTCAGCTGCTGAGTCTGCCGGCATGCAGCCTGCTGCAGACATGTGATTTGATCGAGCAACGTACTGTGGGGCGGCTCGACGAGTTTCGCGTGCCGGAGCTGTCAGCCATCAGTAAGCCAGCCAGGAGCCTCCGCCACCACAGAACCGTTAAGTTGTTTCTCCCTCCTCCTTTCTTTTTGCAGCTTTGTCGCTGACGCGTCTTCGTGTGGCCGCCGTTGGCTCGTCTGACCCCTCGGGCCCCTCCCCTAGCGACCTCCTGGACAGCCTAGCGCGCCACATCCCTCCCCGAGTGCGTGAAGGAGGGCTGAGTGCAGCTGATCTGACCATCCTGGCGTCCACGCTGTCGCAAGCCACACAGGAGATCGGACATGGGAGGTGGAGGGGCTCCAAGGGCGACCAGCGGCTGCAGGCAAAGGCGTACGCGGCCATCGCCGATGGGATCTTCAATATGTGAGCAGTGTTAAAGGGCCAAACAACGAAGCAATGCCCCGCCGTGTTTCCGCCTTTTCCTGTCTGACCAGGTGTGGTGACGGTATGTCTCATCTGAGCCTGCAGCACCTGTCTGTGTTGGTCAATGCCTTCGCCAAGGGCGCGCTGACCAACCCATCCTACCACCGGAGCTTCTCAGGCCATGCTGACAGCCAGGCACCCATCCGATTTCTCACCCCGGTGGCAACGCGTCTTCGTCAGCTGCTACCCTCCCTGCCCCAGCCGCCTGATCCATCGAATCGGCCCCTGTCGTCAGCGTCGTCTCGCGACATTCGTGCCACGTGTCGGCATCTGGCGATTCTGCTGTCGGGGTGGGCCAAGATCTTCGGGGAACTGGAGAGTGACGACGACAGGCAAAACGATGGGATGTCGTCATTTGGCATCGGGGAATGGGTCGAGCCTGGGCTGGTGGAAGATCTCGCGACTGAGGTGAGTGGGGAGGGATGGGCAGCAGCACAGGGACGGATGGATGGATGGAGACCGTCTTTTCTTCGGTGTTCAGGTGGCGGCGCGTGTGGACTTCTTCTCGCCGCTTCATTTGGCGATGGCACTCAACTCATTGGACCTGCTGCAAGTGAGCCAGAACGCATCGGACTTGCAGTGACCCCACATGGATGGATGGATGGATGCCGCTTACTGCAGGCGTTGCCATCGCCATTGGCCTCGGCGGCTGCTGTGCGTGGCAGCGGGTGGCTGGACAGAAGCCTCGCAGACGCAAAGGATGCCCACTCGACCTCAGGTTGGTCCTAGGGCACAAAGCAGCTTTGTTGTCTCCTTGGAATGATATGTGATTGAATCCTTTTTTTCTGATCGTGTGCAGAGCTTGGCGACATGTGTCTGCTGCTGGGGATGGCCCTCACCAACTCAGACGGACAGGTGCAATGCTACACAAGCACGCCCACATGCCCAAGCCCCGGCTGCCTCATCGAGCGATCATCTTTGTGCTTGGTGCAGCATCTCCATTTCTTCCATCGCCTAAGTGCCTTCATCCACGCCAACCTCAGCACCATCCCGCCCCGCGCCACGACATTCCTTCTGTCACTGCTGTCCAAGAACAGCCCGCTGATCCTACCTATTACAAACCCAGCCGCTGCAGCCCCCATCGGTGAAGACGGCCGAGTGTTGGACAGCAGCAGCTATGGCCCCATCACTGCCGCGAGAGATCGTGAGGCTTTCGACGACAGTCGTGTGTTTGTGGGGCGGGTGGTGGATGTGATACTGATGTCGAGTGGTGGTGGTGGTGGTGTTGATAGGGAGAGGGCGGATGGGAGTGTGGATGACCCTGCGTTGGGGCAGAAGGGCAGCCATCGGCTGCCGCCCCCCATGGAGCAGGTCGGGCCCATCAGGCCTCTGCATTTGTCGGTAGGAAGACGCAAAAATGACGACACTGTCGTGGAAGGGGCACAAGGGTTATCGAGGTTTGTCGGCGCCGTCCTTTGTTGTGTGTGTGCAGAACTTGTTGATAACCTTCACACAGCTGGACCTGCCTGAGTACTCGGTGAAGCTCATGTTCCAGCTGCCCCACTCGGCCTTCCACAGCAGAGGCATCCAGGTACGTACGAACCAACAAAGCACCATATTCGTCTCTTTTGTGTATCGCCTGTCTGTCGACTGCCTCCTCTAGAATTTGAGCCTCCTGCTGCTGAATTCGGTGCTGTATGCCCTCGCCAGCACCGCAGCGGCCTTCACCTCGCCAATGCCGCCATCGCCGACCCCTGGCATCCGCTGTCGCTTCCCTCGTTTCACGAAAACGGCCCTGGGACTCTTCCTGGACCGCTACAAAGCGAATGGTGCCGATGCCAGCAATGGTGGCAGTGGCTGGAGTGTTGAGAGGAACAGGGGGGAGAGTGAGGACGAGTCAGCCTTATCGGGGTTTTCCGTCTGCCTGCACACACTGGTGTTGTTGGGGCCCTTGTTGGACAGGCCAGGCCATTTGTGTGAGGGGTTAGGTCTGAGAGCTCTGCAGCTGCAGAGTTTGGTTGGGGCGAATGAGCTGATAAGTCGGCAGCAAGAGGGATAGATAGATCGGGGTAGACGGGGGATGGATGGGCAAGGTGTGCGCGCTGTTTGTCGTTTGTTGATGCGAACATACCATGAGCAAGGGAGGGACTGACGCATGTTCCTTTCATTGTATGCAGTAAACAAGGTCGTTGGTGCATCATCAAGACCATGAAGACAAGACAGCGACACCAGAGCAACGGCCGTGCCATCGCCTTCTCCGCCCCTCGGCGGCCACCCCCTCGTTCTTCATTTGACAGCATCCTATCTGTCTGTCTGTCTAAGGTCACGTCTAGCAGCCCTAGTATGTATACATCTGCCGTGTGCTGCCCATCTCGCCCACTATCGCCCCGACGTGACCGACCGAATTTGAGATGACGGGATTAGACCCCATCTCACAGACGGCCAAGTTGGAAGAGCTAGTGGAAGAAACGCAACTTGTGCGGCCCCAGGCAACACCACATGTCTCATTGGTAGACATACACACCTCTCTCCCGCGTCCCATGCCCATGACAGTGTCACCCCTTGTGTCGCTTCGCCTGTGGCTCCCCCTCCTCATGCTGGCCCGACACATCAGCACCCACCCTCGGCGGCGTCCCAGACCAGCCACCGCCACCAACAGACCCAGCAGACACAGACAAAAGCGACGAGGGAGGCGTCACAACACCATATCCCCCTGGCCGCGGCGGCAGGGGCCTCTTCTGCGCCGTGCCGGCTGTGAGCAGGAGGGTCCTCGATTGTGGTATGATGGGTCCGCCGAGAGTCCATGGGATGTCGGTGGGTGGCTGGGGAGTGCGGACGGTCGTCCACATGTCCGGGGGCAGCGGGTGGGCCTCAATGATGGACGGCCGGCCGCCCTTGGGAGGAGCCTTCGGCAGCACACTGACGGACGCACACACAGTTTGAAGAGACGGAGTGTGCTTCGGGAGACTCGTGGATGCTGTGCTGTGCTGTGCTGTGTGTTGATGAACGCACCTTGTCGAGATGCCATTCCGGCACTTGCTGGCAGCCTCACTGCTCATGAACTCCACATAGGCGTGCCTGATACACACACATAGATCCATCCGCGTGTTGGTGCCCTCTTATCTCAGTTTCAGTTTCCCACCCTGTGGCCTTTCCTGTGGTGGGGTATTCGAGCATCCTGATGGTTCGCACAGTGCCGTACTCCTCCAGACGCTCGCGCAACTCAACGTCATTCACCCACTGACGACAAATAAACCCGACAACCACACGTGTTAGGTACCTAACCTGCCTGTCCTGCGCATTGCCTACCCATGCCAGGCCCGATATCAAGACAGCCTGATCGGCCGACGGCTCTTCACCGCTCGTCGACTCTCGCGTCTCGGGAGGAGCAGTCAGGAACAAAGCAACCGCTGCACACAGCACATCAGAGAACACGGCAACAACCCCCTTCTCTCGCCGCCGCTTTGGATGCCCCCACCCCTTGTTTCCGTTCTTACGTCTTCGCTTGAAGGCGGGTTCCGTCGGCTTGGCGTGCCAGTGTCCTCTCCGCCCTCTCCCCCCTCCCATGACCATCGACGACGGGGCGCCGCCCTTGGCTCCCCGACCAGCAGCAGCAGATGTGCCTCCAGCCGCTGCAGCTTTTGGCTGCGCATGACCGGCACTCCGCCTGGCAGCCACTGCCGATGCCGAGGTGTCGACGTCTGCGAGGATTTCAACATTTTCGTCATCGATGTTCTCGGGAGCGGGTGTGTCTGTCTTGGCCCTGCTGTCGGCGCGTGTCGAGTCGTCTTGTCTGGTAACCGACGAGCTGGAGGGCGTCCTCTGGGGGGTCACCTGAGCGTCGGACTGACACCAGACAGACACCGGCATGCAGCGAGGAGAAACATTGCCTTTGTGTCAGGTGAGAGGGCGTTGTGTAGTCACCTGTGCCGCTTCCGCGCCGATACCGAGGTCGCCATAGATGTCAAACTCCTCCTCAGCCATCACACACTCACTAACAATGCGTCAGAGGCTCAGGCCACGATCGTCAACGGAGCAAATCAGCACATGAAGCACAGCTTCGTTTGCAGGTCCAACCGGCTCAGGCAACGGGCGTTTTCTTCCACGAAAGGAAGCGCGAGCTGTGCTGCGAGCTTGAAGCCAAACAGAGGAAGATGTTCCTGAGATCTGTGCGTGTCTGTTGCGTGAGATCTGTGCAGACACGTGAAGCATTGGACGACGGCCGATGAAATCGATGATGTCCGAGTTGCTGGCAGCACGAAGCGCAGCGCGTCGACGGCTCGGCTGCAGAAGGTATGGAATCATGACACAATAACAGAGAGGCGCAATGTCATCCATGCCATGCTGCATGCATGGGGAAACGATTGCTGTCTTTTGTTGGTTGTCAGATCATAACGACATGAGTGGCAGTGATCACTCAACGGTGGGCGGGCTCTGCCGACAGATTTCGTTTGTCAGGCGGACAGGGCAGGGCACAGAGCAGCAGCTCACGGATGCAGCCGCTGATCTGGCCAGATGATGAATGGAACGTCGCGCTTCCTCCACGCTTCCTCGGTGTGTGTCGCTGACGGTGAGAAGATATCACACGCTCGGGACCGTGAACTGTCGACACGATGTCGACATGCGAAGAAGACTCTCAACATATCGTATAGGTGAGCACACCAGCAGCGGAAACACAACACACCTTCTCTGTGGGAGGGGTGTGTGTGTGTGTTGGTGGTGAGTGTGTGTAGGATTGTGTTAGCTGTCCACCAGCTCGACGAAATATAGTGGCGTCAAGGTGGTAAGTGACCGACGCACCGAGCGGCACGGAGAGGCGACAAAGTTTATCTGTCGGCGTGCAGGGTTTAGTGATGTCTGCCGCCGCTCCAGCCAGCGACCAGCAGCAGCAGCAGCAGCAGACGTATGTGATAGAGAACGTCGAGGTCCGCTTCCCGCCCGGCAGCAATGCGCCGACCAAACGGCTCGTCCGGAGCACCATGCGGCGCACCATTACGCCTGACGGCGTGAGGCGGCTCATCCGCAGAGGGGCCGACCCACGAGTGGTCGTTGAGCTGTTGTGGCCGCGTGGGCCCGCTGGCCGTCACGTCCTGGATGTGTGTGTGCTGTCGCTGGCCATCGACGACTCCAGCAGGCTATCTGCCCTCGAGGACGCCCTCGACATATGGGTGTTCCCTGACGCGGCGCAACTGGTGCTGCCGCTGTGGCCGTCACGGGCTCGGCAAGAGGCCGTCCTCATACAACTCATCCGAGCGGGGGCCCGCGTCGATGGGCCACCGGGTGCCCCCACAGACGTCATGAACCTGGGCACTGGCGACGATGAGAAGCGGACCAGCCACTGTCCCATCCAGATGGCGGTTCGCGCGGCCAACCTGACGGCGGTCAAGGTCTTGACGGCCAACGGGGTTGGGATGAGGGGGCTGACGCTCCTCTTCGTCCCAGGCAAGGTGCGGCCCAATGACGAATATGAGGCTGCGCTGATGGCCGTCTACACCCATCTCGTGCAGCACGACCCCTGCCTCGCGACAGAGCTGGGGCCCTGGAGCTACAACGTCATCCATCGAGCCGTGATGAATGGAAAGGGCTATTCCGACGGCTTCACCTTGGCCTTCCTGCAGCTGATGAAGGACAATGGAGCCAGCGTCACCCACCGGCACCAGTTCGACTCGTTAGGGCTGGGTGGGGCGGATGCCACGCCGTTGCATGAGGCAGCTCAATACCGCGCGTATCCCGCGATCGAGTGGCTGTGCCCCTACCTCACCCCAGCAGACATCAACGCGAGCAGCAGCGCCAACAAGACCCCCCTTGGCCTCGCTGGCGGACAGCTCGCCAATTTGGTGGGTCACCCCCTCCCGTCCGAGAGACGAGATGAGACGATCAGCGGGATGAAGGGGGCTGTCCGCACGCTGCTGCTGTCGGGTGCGGCCATCGACATGGTGCCCACGGCCACCGACAGTGACCGACATGATCGTCGTCTGGTGGACGAGGAGTACGTGCAGCTCCTCGACCAGCTGGCGGATGACGTCATGGATGCGGTCAACGGTGCCCTCAACCCCCAGCGCGACGTCGCCAACCTGCTGACCCGCCTGCTGCCCCTCGCCCGCCCCAAGCCGTCTGATTCGACTGATGACGCCCCTGCCGTCCCATCGCGGCCCTCCCCATTCGCACACAGCAATGAGACGCCCCAGATCGCATGGAAGGTCGGCGCCTTCTTTCACGAGCCAGAGGCCGTCGACCAGATGCGCCTCACGACCCACACCCCACTGGCTGGCCGCATCAAGGCCGCCATGCAGCACTTCGTCAAGTGCGCGGCGACCAAGACGGCCGGCAATCGTGAGGTCGTGGGTGTGATGGCCAATGTGGGCGGGAGGGTGGTGCGGGTGCCGCTGCAGTGCTTCGCTGTCAACAGAGGGCAGCATGCACACAGGCGGCTGGGGCTGCGCGAGGTGGTCCAGAAGGCCCGGCTGGACGAGGCAGCCAGATTTGGGCTGACGGGCGTGGTCAAGGGCTTCAACACCCACCTGGGCAATGAGGAATGTCAGTTCGAGTGGCAGCAGCTGGGATGGGTCGACGAGACGGGGAGGTTCCAGCCGCTGGGCATCAGTTAGCTGAGGAGGGGCAGCACAGGGCCGTGTAGCACATAAGGGGGGGAAGAGGAAGGGATGGCGGTGTGTGTAGACTGGGTGGCTGTCCGCTGGATGAAGCTGTCCGCGGGGGTGACCGATGGCTTCATCTCTGTCTGATGTGTACATATTGTATGCAGTCTGATCTCTTTCGTTGGCTATTGCTGTTGAACCGTGGTTCGATTGACTCATTTCATGCCCATGACCATCAGTCAGTCCAGATATGGCCTGCACGCGCGACATGAGCTTGACGGCAACAGAGTAGAGGGGTGTGGAGGCATCCATGCCCATCCTATCGGTCGTTGCATTAATGTCTGCTGGGCTGAGATGCTGGCATAGCCACTCGATCACGTGATACGACCACGTCCACGATGCCGGAATCAGCATGTAAGGGGTGACCGTGGCGCCGTTGTCCTTCATCAGCTGCAGGTAGGCAAAGGTGAAGCCGCGCGAGTAGATGGGGCCTGTTTCGGCCGCTGAGTCGAGAACCGTGGCAGAGATGGCGAGGGAGCGGTCGTGTTTGACGAGGTAGGTGTAGATGGCCAACAGGGCCTCCTCGTACTGCTGGCTCGAGCGCACCAATCGCGGCAATTCCACCAGCGTCCGTCGCCCCCACAACCACCCTCGCCCTCGCAGAACCGCCCCGTTGACCACGAGTGTCTTGACGGCCGTCAGGTTGCCCGCTCGCACCGCCATCTCGATGGGACCCTTGCTCTCGATGCTGAAGTACCGGGAAACCTTCCATGTCTCAGGAAAGCTGTTGATCCGGAGCCATCCGATGGCCTCGATCAAAGCCGGCAGGATGGCCGCCTGCACCTCGCGCGACGGCCATAGCGGCAAGACGACCTCTGCTCCCTGATCTAGCCCGATGCTAAGCCCCTCCTCGAGCACTGTTGGCGTGCTCCAGTCGTCGATGGCCAAGGACAGCAGACACAGACGCAGCACTCGAGTACGCCACTCTATACGCCGACGCCACAGCTCGACGTACACGGCGGCGTCGGCGCCTTGGCGGATGAGCTGCTGCACTTCAGCAGGGGTGATGGTGCGTAGTATGATGCCGCCCACCAGCCGCTGCGTCGCTTCATTCGTGTCAGGTGGGAGGCGGATCTCGACAGCCTTTGGCTTCATCGCCTGCTGCTCCGGCCGCCGCTGCTGCTGGTGTGGTTGCTGCCAAGCTGATGATGACGACGCCGACTTGTCATTGATTAGGCTGCCTACAGCGGCGTACGGCACGCGCTCGACCTTGAGCCGGCCGCCCGAGTCCCTGGCGTCCTCCTCAGTCACCGTCCACTCGGTGCCCATGCCCAGCGGGTAGGGACACACCCCATTCTCGTCTGTGAGTGAAGGCACAGAGAAAGACATCCGTGATTGCGTGGCGCGGGATGCAGCAGAGAGTGTGTCAGTATCTCACGTACCTTCAGCAGGCTGTGTGCATTGCTGAGGGGTCGGTTGCTCGGAGGGCTGCGGCAGGCAGATGAGCACATCTGACAGAGAAAGGACATCACATCATGGATTCACCTCATTCATCCATCCATCCATCTGTTTGTCGTCCGTTTTGGCTCACAGTCGAGGCCCGTGGTTGGAAGAGATGGCTCTATCGCCGGCATGACGTGCCGGATTGAGGGCTGCAGACGTAACGCTCAGACGCGGCCGCCATTGTCATGTCCTATGGGAACGAAGAGAACTTCAAGGTGATCATCGTCGCCTCTCTGGCACAGACGGCATGCTGCCCACCTGAAGGCAAGTCACTCGCGAAGAGCGCCGCCATGCTCGCGCCGGTGGATGAATGGATACGATAACCTGCATGGACAGACAAACAGCAGCCGTGTGGCCGTCTGCAGCGAGTCTGTTGCCCCGCTGCTCACCTGGCAATCGGTGTTTTTGTTTCGTGCAGGGAGGCAGCGAGGAGCGATGAACCAACGATAAGCCACTAATCAAACCGCCTCGCCAGCCACTTTTTGATGAGTTCATACCCGGAGTTTAGGGTAAGAGCTTAACACAGCATCAGAAGCCCAGCTCGCACGGCTAGCGATGCCTTTGGCTGAGCTGCCGGCCAACCATCCAACCAGCCATCCAGAGCTGTTGCAACCTCTACGCTCCTTCGATCTCATCAGATCATGCCGGACCGCCTCTTTACGGAGTGGTTTGCTTCTCAGAGATTCGGGTCAATACATCCATCAGCAAGGGCGACGGGCGCTTGGTGTTAACAAAACAAACCGCTGCTGCCGGCGAGTGGTGTTTATTATAGCTCTGGTTGTCGAGCATGAGTGTTGAAGGAGAGCCGAAGCGTCCCCGCGCACAAGGCGGCGACTCGGCCGCTGCCGCTGCTGCCGGCGGCACACCGGTGAGCAACCGACAAGCGAACGCATTCACTCGAGAGAGCACACACGTCCATCATTCATCGTCTGTCTGTGTTTGTGTTGCAGTCCATCAGTGAGGGTTTGGTTCGTCTGGCGGAGCGCATCGCATCGCTGCACACACACATTGATCAGGCAAGTGGCGCAGCAGAGGCCCAATGGACTCACTGCTGGTGTGCTCTCGTCCACTGTGTGTGTGTGTGTGTGGTGCCTGCAGGTCTCACGAGAGGCTGCCGGTGTGCAGCAGCTCTTCAACACCACAGTAGCCGCACAGGTCAACCACACACACTCACACGAGAGAGTACTGCAGCCGTAACTCTCTCTCTGGTTGTCTATCTGTGTGTTCGGTGCAGACGCCATTTCTCGCCGCTAAGTGGGTCAACGTCTTCGCCGCTCTCTCGTCGGCTACTGATGCGCTGCGCGGCGTCGAGGATGGCGTCAAGGGCACCATTCGGCCCATCGGCTGGGCCAAGCCGCCCCCGCCCGCCGACTCGGCTGACGGCCTGCCGCCTGATGTCTGCCGCGACGTCATCTACCCGTGCCTGCCCATCGATGAGGCCGTCTGCTCGGCCCGCCCCATCAGCAGGGCACACGGCAGCCAACTCGTCAATGAGGCCTTCGTGCAGCGCTGCATCGCCAAGCACCTCAGCCGCCACTCGCTGACCGGCCTGATCGACGTGCACCGGACAGCAGCAGACACTGTCAATGCTGCGGCGCCCACCCCTGCTCCTCCGACCGCCAGCAGCAGCAGTGACGCACCGGCCGCTGCAGGCGGTGACGGCCCTCATGTGTCGCATATCTGCTATCTGTGCCGGTGCTGCTATGTACTGGAGCATGGCGGGGCGCTGTGGTGTGAGTGGCCCGACTTCATCCGGCTGGCTGACATCTACAAGCTGACTCCCTCGACTGGCCTGCCGTTGATCATGTCGGCCCAGTGGATGGCGGCCCACCTGCCCACCAAGGCCGACTTCCACACCATGCCCCTCGCCCTTCGCCAGTACAGCACATTCGGCCACCTCTTCAACTACAGGGGCACCAGTCTGGCGCTCACAAAGGTGGATGAGGCCGATGATGGCGACGAGGCCAAGAAGGAGGATGGAGAGGAGGGGGACGGAGAGGGGGACGGTCTTGTGACGAGGCAGCGCTACAGGATCCGCGATGTCTACTTTACGACGGTGCCGCTGTCCGCCCTCCCTGCCGACTGCCCCTTCCGTGACACATATGACCCCCACAACCCGCCCATCCGCTACCATGGCCACTTCTTCCCCTCATTCACGGCCTTCATGAAGTGGTTGGTGCTGGCGAACTGGTATGGCCGAGAGGGGGTGGACGAGAAGCAGGTATTCTACGCGGAAGTAGGCGATGGCGATGAGCCGTTTCAGCCACTGCTGACCCGTGACATCGACGGCCACACCACCATCGACTTCATCTACGGCGAGCGGGTGCGACTCATCATCCTCAGGGGCACAGAGGAGGGGGACACCGTCGCCGCCTACCTGTGGCTGACCGGTGGCAGCATCGTCCTGTACACAACCGAGGCGGAGATTGAGGGCCAGGAGCTCTACGACTACCCCATCGCGATGTCCTTGGCCCACGCTCTCTTAACCAAAAACGGTCTCGCCCACCTCATCCCGCACTAGAGGAGAGCACACAACACAAGTGAGCCGTTGTGGGGAAGAGACATTGACATATATACAAGATGCAACAAGCGAGTGCCTCGATGACATTGGTGTGTCTGTGTCTGTCTTTCTGTAGGTGAGATGATTCGTAGACTGGTGGTGCTGGCAGTGAACAGACAGCCCAGCAGCACTTGCAGCGAGATGTGAGTAGATGAGATAAAAGGGGCGCGGTGTCGACTGCCGACATCTGTACATGTCCATGTCCACGTCGTCCGGCCACGGTGGGAAGAGAGATTCACATGTACAAGGTGCAACAAGTGAGTTCCTTGATGACATTGGTGCGTCTGTGTGGGTCTGTGTGTGTCTCTCTCTCTGTGTGTGTGTGTGTGTGTGTCTGTAAGTTGATTCGTAGACTGGTGATTCTTGCAGTGAACAGCCCAGCAGCGAGTGTGCAGGCTGACGGTGGAGGGCTGACTTGCAGCGAGATGTGAGTTGATGAGATGGAGGGGCGCGGTGTCGTCTGCCGACATCTGTCCACGTCGTCTGGCCATGTGTGAGAATGAATGGTCATGTGTGAATTACACTGACTGACTGACGGTGGGCGGATTCACTCCCATCCAGTCCAATCCAAGTGTCCGTGTCCATAGTGGATATTCACACGCGCACTCACACTCACCCCCAACCACAGAGCGCAGGCCAGCCTCCCCCACACGCACCACATCAGAACAGGTGACACAACGACTACCGGCCACTTCAGTGTCTGTAGAATAAGTGACGACTCGCCACACGGCCGGCCAATACACTCCGGCAAAAGGCATGCCAATCGCAGCAGCAGCAGCCATCAGGGAGGGGACACTGACAGCTTCTCACTTCTGCGGTGACCTTGAAACTGCTCCTATCGAATATAAAGTGTAGACAGCGATTGATGGCCTGCGAACACCCAACACAACACAGGAGTGAGGAGCAGCAGCTGCAATTGAGACACACACTGGGTGATTCTGTCTCCTTCCTGTCTGCCGTGCTCATCTTGTGGTGTTGCGTTGCGCTGTGTGGGTTTGCCAGGATGGGCGCTCCTCACACCACCTGCATGTGTCAACAGGACCCACAGCAACCACACCAAGTGTGTGCGTGTGACGGTCAATGTGTTGGAGGGTACCGGATGGACTTACCTTGCGTGGAGTGAAGGAAGTTGCCTGTCTTGTAGGGACCCAGCCAGCCACACCTACCCACCACAGAGAGAGACATACACAGAGACGACATACGTCCAACCAGCTGCATACATACCGGCTGGGCGTCCTTGGGGGATGAGGCCGCGTTGTTGTTGTCGAAGTGTCCAGCAGATATAAAATGTATGCAGCGATGTCATCTCTGCAGTCACACAGAAGGTCAGACTCACAGTTTGAAGATCGCGTGTCTCCTCTGCTCCCTCACCTGAGAAGTTCCCGGCTTGAACTCGTCGTCCCGTCCCGCTCGCACCCTCTTGACCCGCAAACACACGCCCACCCACACCACTCCGTCCGCAGCAACCTCAGCACCGCCATCACCTACCGCGACACGATGCGGCACCTGATCTCATCCTCCGCTCCACATCCTCTCACGCACTCCATTTCTTCTACGCACCCCACTCCCCTCGCCCTGCGATAATCGGTGCCCACCCCTCCATTAGGAGGGATAGGCCTGTGCGATGAGGGTCTCTACACAGTCGACGAGGGGCTGGAGCGATGCGTCGGGGGGCGGGTGGGCGAGTGGGGGGATGAAGGCAAGACACTCCCGTGCTATGAGCAAGTCCAGCAGCTCCTCCTTTGGCCCTCCGTGGCGGCTGATGGTGTCGTCGATGTCCGACAGCAGCTGCTGGTGCACCGCCGTGGCCTCGTCGAGGCCGTGCTGCAGGAAGTGCTGGGGCCCCGCCTGGGCCTGGGCCTCTAGAGAGCGGACAAGCCGCTCGTAGAGGGTGCCGCTGCCGATTTGCTGGTATGTGCCCCACCCTTGATGGCCGCGGCCCATGACGGGTGGCTGCCAGCGCCGCCATCCCCACGCTCATCGCCGTTGCATAGACGTCGCTGTACTGGCTTTTGGCCAGGTACTGGCGGCCGGCGGCGTGGGAGAGGTAGTAGCAGAGGGAGATGAAGGGATCTGGTGATGGGATGCTGAAGACGGGGTTGAGGGCCTTGTGAAAGTCTTCGCCCTTCTGCATCTCCCTCACCGCCTCGTGGTCGATGTGGACCACCTCCATGTGGCCCCTCGTGCCGACCACCAGCAGGTTGCTGGCATGAGCATCCCCATGGATCAGCCACCCCTGTCGCTCCTCGTCCCTCCTACACAGCCGCGGGATGTTGGTGGACATGCCCACGTCGAGATAGCTGCGGCAGAAGAGCTCACGCAGAGGGGGCGAGTGGGGCTTGAGTGGGAGGCACTCCTGGCTCTCGTCGGCCTCCACAGGCACGGGCAGCGTCTTGGACTTCTGGAAGTCCCTCATGGCGGTGAGGGCGCGAGAAGGCCGCGATGGATGGCTGGGCGGCTGAAGACCTTGGCTTCTGAGTCGCAGCCGGGCAGGTCTTGTCGATGAAGGTCCCAACGATTATAAAATGTAGGCAGCGATGTCAGGTCTGCAGGCAGAGACAGATTGCCTGAATGCACACAAGCTATAGACATAGTGTGTCTGCTTGGTCTCTCACTCCTGGCTCTCGTCGGCCTCCACAGGCACGGGCAGCGTCTTGGACTTGTGGAAGTCCCTCATGGCGGTGAGGGCGCAGGAGGCCGCGGTGTATGGCTGGCCGGCTGCTGTGGTGGATCGAGTAAACGACCTCCGGTTTGATGGGCATGCCGGCGCCTGCCGTGCCGTATCCGTGTGGGGCGGGTGTGGTGGGGGTGATGGTGGTGCCTTCGGTGACCATGGCGTTGATGGCGGCCCGGGCGACGGCAAAGTGGTGCAGGTTGGGGGCACCGTGCCCGTCGAACTCTGCCAACACGGACACCAGAAACGACACTCTTCTCTGTGGCGATGCATGCCGATTGTCTTTGCGTCTCCTTACCCATGACCTTTACCGCATAGTAGGGTCGACCGGTCGTCTCTCCCGCCCCCTCGACCTTCTGCCCTCTGTGCGTCCTCATGTTGGGGGTCGCCACTGTGATGGCGACGGGCTCCTCCACGCCGACATAGCCGCGGGACAGCAGGGGGGCGCCCTCAGCTGTCCCTCCAGCCGGTGGAGCAGCTGGGCCTCGTCCTCGATGCCCCTCAACGCCGCCCGCTCCGCCCTCTCGGCCTCCCTCTAAGCCTTCGCCCCTCTCGGCTGGGGCTGCCCCGACTGCCTCAGCAATTCCCGCAGCAGCGGCTTGGGCGTGCGCATCTTGATGATGCAGTCCTTGCCGTGCAGCGTGGCCCTCAGGGAGATGGTCCGGTCGTTGAGCCAGTAGTCGCTGGTGAGGGTGTGCTCCCCGAGGGCGACACGCTTGGACGCGCTGCTGCGAGGCTGGGCGGGAGTGCGGAGCAGACGCAGACAGCTCCTGGTCCTCGACAACAACTTCACCAACACACACATCACACGCGCAGACAGAAAAGTGAATCAAGTCACATTTCTTCGCCCTCTTGTTGTCCATCCATCCATCCGTACCTTGGCTAGTCACGCTGGGCTCGTCACAGTCACCCACAGGCGACTCACTGGGCGCACCGGCGGCAGGGGCACTCTCGGCAGGTCTCTTCTCCTGCGTGGCGGCTCGACAACCGCCTCGTGGTCCCTCTCCTCCTCCTCCTCCGGCTGGCGGGTGTGCGTACCGTTACCCACGACTCATTCACCGCAGCTCCGTCGCAGGCACTCATTCACGACTCACTCACCCGTTACGGGCGACAGGGGTGCTGCTTTGGGCTGTTGGTGTGTCCGATAGGGGCGGGGAGAGAGAACAGCCAGCTCTGGTGTCTCTCGCTGGCGTGGTCTGTCTTCTGTCTGGCTGTCTTCTTATCTACAGAGGTGTCAATACAGTATCTGAACACACATAGACACACACACACACACGTCACACAGACATACGGCAACGAGGGAGTATATGCCGTCCTCACCTCCTGAGAGTGTGTGGGGTATGTGTGCTGTAGTGAGTCAGTCGCTGCCGCCCGCTGCCGTGCGTGCCCTGGCCTCCTGTCGTCGCCGCTCCCTCTCATCCTCTTCCACACGCTGATTGAGCCGGCGTTGTTGAAGTAGTTACGGGCGGCTGAAGACCTTCCAGCCGGACAGGTCTTGTCGATGAAGGTCCCGGCGGATATAAAATGTAGGCAGCGATGTCAGGTCTGCAGACAGAGACACATCGCCTGAATGCACACAAGCTATAGACATAGTGTGTCTGCTAGGTCTCTCACGATGTTTCTTCCGTGTCCTCTCCCTCTCCCTGCGATAGACGATTGACCCCCACCCCTCCATCAGGAGGAGTAGGGGGTGGCTGCGATGATCTCCTCTACGGCAGTGATCAGGATGTCGAGCGGTGACTCTGCGGGGGGCTGGGCGAGGGGAGGGATGGACAGGAGGCACTGCCACGCGATCTTGAGGTCCGTCACCTCGTCGGCTGGGCCTTCCTGGGCCTCCTGCTCCTCGATGGATTTGATGATGTCGGCGACGAGGGCGTTGTGGGCGTCGGTCACCTCAGCCAGCCCCGTCTCCTGGAACTGCAGCCGCCTCTCCGTGCCCGCCTTGCCCTTGGACGCCCGTAGGTGGCCGCCGCGAAGTCGGATGAGGCGGTCGAATAAGGAACCGCTCTGTCCGCCTCCCTGACAGCGCCCCCAACCCATGAACGCCCCCGCCCACGCCGGATTCCCCGCCAGCGCCGCCAAGGCCACCGTCAGGATGACCCCGTAGTGGTCGGTGTACTGGCTGTCGGCTAGGGTCATCCTGTTGGCGGCCTCGTTGAGGTCATAGCTGACTGGCACAAACGGCACGGGGGAATGGACCTCCAGGGGCGGGTTGGTGTCCTGGTGGAAAGGCCGGTCCTGCTGCAGCTCCCTGCTGGTCTCGTGGTCGATGTGGGCCACGTCCCCCTCCTCCTTGCTGCCGACCATCAGCAAATTGCCGCCGTGGGCATCGCCGTGAATGAGGGAAACCTGCCCCTGCCCGCTCCTCCAGATGGACGGCAGGTTGGAGAAGCCTCCCACCACCATCGAGTCCGGCACGTGGCAGTTCTGCAGCTCCCATGAGTATGGCACAGCGCTCGGGCAGCCGTCGGGTGGTGCGCCTTGTGGTGGTGGTGGTGGCAACGGGTGTAGGGTCTTGAGGCTGCCGAAGTGCCGCATGGTGGTGAGAGCGGCGAGCAGGCCCTGGTGGATGGTGCGGCGGGGTGTGCTGGCGATGGATGTCAGCAGGGATGGCGTCATGGGCAGGCCGAAGTCCAGCTGGAAGGGGAGCAGCGCTGTGCGGGGGTCCAGCTGGTTGGTCCTCTGGTGGTTGGCGGCAGCGTGGAGGAGGGTCACCTGGGTGAGGTTGGGGGCGTCCTCGCCATCAAACTCTGCATAACCACACAAATGGACACCCACAATACATGTATGCTGCTGCCTTTTCTGCTGGTGTTCGGCTGCTGGCTTACTCATGACTTCGACGGCATAGTATGGACCCTTCAGCTTCACCTCGACGAAGTGCTGGGCCGTCACGCCCTCGGCACCCCTCCGATTGGCCATGTCGGCCGGCGGCAGCCGCAGCTTGAAGGGCGTGCTCCTGCGGACGAAGCCCCTCGACAGGAGCCGATATGGGCGGCTGAAGACCTTGGCTTCTGAGTCGCAGCCGGGCAAGTCATGTCGATGAAGGTCCCGGCGGATATAAAATGTAGGCAGCGATGTCAGGTCTGCAGACAGAGACACATCGCCTGAATGCACACAAGCTATAGACATAGTGTGTCTGCGTAGTCTCTCACTGACGGCACCTTCTCTCGATGTTCTTCTGTTCCTTCAATGCCCCGCATGCAGGCGACGTTGAATCGCTCCAGCCTGTTGTCGCAGAACTGGCCCATCTCCCGCAGCAGCAACTCAGGTATCCTGAACTTGACGATGCACCCCGTGCCGTGCAGTTTGGCCCGCACGCTGATGGAGCGGGCGTTGAAGTAATACGTGCTGGATGTCAGTCTCGTCAGATAAAAAATGTAGCCAACGATTGGTGGCCTGCACGGAATACAAGACACCACACCAGCAGCCGGCCTGTACAAGATACTGGTAGCGCAATGATGGTCAGATCAATCAGATTGCATCCACCTCTGAACTGAGGATGCGGCGCTGCATGTCCCTCAGCCGCTCCATGCCTGCCGGGTCGGGGTCGTGCGGCGCCGTCCTGACCTTGACGCGCTCCATGCTGCACATGTTGGTCGACTTTGGTGCGGGTGTGGCGTTCCCGTAGTGGGACAATGCAGTAGGTCGACAAACAATGAGGGAATGTGTCGAGTCGTGTGTTTTGTGCTGTGTATTGATTCATTTCCCTGTCTCACTCGCCTCTTTGCAATTTCGCCGATGTAGGCGGTGGCGAAGCGAATGTGGTGTGGGTATGCGGGCTTGCCCGTGGCCACGGCGTACACCTCCACGACCGGCGGCGGGCAGGCGATCCCCTCGAGGTGAGCGAGGTGGTGGGCGAGCTTCGCCTGCATACACACATACGTACACAGCAACACAGGCCTTGACCATTGATCCCCGTGTGTTGTGTGTCGTACCACGTCGGCGATGGGCGTTTGCGGGATCTTGATGGCAAACGAAGGCTGAGGTTGATCATGAGGGTGCACATGTCATAGAGAGACTGAAAGGAGGGAACAAACCACACACACGGGGGTGTCATCTTTTCTCGGCTTGCTGTCCCCCTGCTGCAGCTGCACTGCATTCTCACCATGCCGCCGCTGTTGCCCATTTTGGTGATGTCGTAGTTGCCGCGCGCCCTGTATGCCGGCCCCCACGGTGGGTCGAAGTAGACCTGAATGAATCCACACACATACACACACACACACACACACGTGTCAGATGCTGACCGTCACGGCGCCTCTGTCTGCTCCGTCGCTCTCTCTTGAGCCCCGATGGAAGACCGACCGGCCAGCCAGTGTTGTGAAAGCGAATCACTCTCTCGACACATCGGGTACTAACAGCAGCAGTGGAGCTGCGTGGTTTGCGCGGGCACTTGGTCCTTGGCCCGACGGGCAAGCACCTCCCTCCCTCCCTGCCCCTCCTGTGTGGCTGCGCTGTGTGCGCGGACGCTGGGGCATTGGCCACTCGTGGCTTGATCCTGGGCGGATTCTTGGGCTGACGGGAGGGTGCTGTAGACACTGTTTGGCTGCACTCGTGGGCTGGAGGTGGGCGCCCGTTGTCGTTTTCTGTGCTGGTCTGCTAATGCAGCTGGGCCAGTTCGCGGCTTGGCGTGTATTGACCAACCTGAACCAACAAGACAACAGACAGATGCATGCAGACAGACATGTGTGGTGTCTGTCGTGTCGCCTTTGCTTACCCATGCAAGATGGGCGTCTATACGAGGAAGAAGACGATCTTTCTTTCTTGTTGTCGCCTTCTTTTGGGGGCCTCTCTCTTTGTTTTGGCCTTCTTCTGGGGGCCCTTTTTCTCTCTCTCTCTTCTCTGTTCTGTTGCCGCCCCTGGTGCGTCTCCCACGCCCACCACACCGTCAGTCACCGCCTCACTCACTGCCCATGTCGACAGATTGGCGCGCATCTCATCCAGTGTTGTGAGCCCAAATCAGACCACAGTGCACACACCATGCCAGCCAACCGATCGACCAGTCACGCCGAGAGACAGACACACCGGTGTCACACAAAACCGCCTATGCTGGCCGCACAACGCTGCCTATGGTCGGCCGTGGCGACCCCGCTGCCACTCCTGCTTCGCCCTTCTGCACGGCCCCTGTGTGTGTGTGTGTTGGTGCTGGTGTTGCTGCACGGAGTCCCTGGATGCCTGTCCTGCCGCTGACATTAGTCAGATTGGATGGGCTGCCGCCTGTTTGCCCCGACGGGTCCATCGATGACCCGTCGTCTGGCAGGGCCTTGGGCGGCACCGACGACACCAAGAAGTGCTTGAAGTGCTTGCGAGGGTCGATGACGCCCCAGTCGATGCGCAGGTCGATGAAGTCGCTGTCGGTGTCAGATCCGTTAACTCATCCCTCCGCCTCGATAAATGCGGGGCACGACCAGCTCCTCTGACGCGGAGCCTGTCCAGCGCTTCGCCGCACACACACACACACAAAGACATTTCAGATGTTGAGTGGGCATTCAAGTGCTGACCACATCGAACGCTGGCTTGCCGGGTTCTATCATGCCGCGGGCGATGATGTGGTCCTCCATCTTGTCAGTGAGGGCCATGAAACAGTCTTGGTAGATGAGCACATGGTTGGCCTGCATGAAATACACACGAACACACACACACATCTGTGACTGTCAAAAAATGAATGAAAGTCGCATGTCTCTCCTTACTTTGTGTGAAATCTCTTAATCGTCCTTGCTCCAATGGCTCCCTGATCAATTCTCAAGAAAAATGAAGTGTACGCAGCGATTCTCGGCCTGCAGACACACATGCGAGTTTGGTCGATGTGCTTGGGTTCCTTGAATATCCGTCCGCCAATTTTGACTGCAGGCGCGGCCCCTAAAGGACAAAAAGAAACAATACAAAGAGACATAGCATGCCGGGGCAAGAGGGATCTCGTCGGCGGTATGTCAAGCGCTCGGCAGATGGCAGCGCTGATAGCATAAGACAAAGACACAGCGCTGATAGCATTATCACACTCTGACATACTATTTCACACTCTATTCGTGTCTTACTGATTCGTCGCAGCACACGTCAATTAGTGGTCTGAAAGGATAAAAAAAAAAAAGTAATTAAAAGCACGCTTTGCGTCGAATCACAAGCAATGGTCGGTCAGCATTGTGGGGCAGCGGTGGATGCGTCTGCACAGCAAATGTGCAGAAAGTGTTGTGCATAGTTATTTGTTTCTCGAATAGACGGACCCTTTTGGAAGGCTTTTGGTCAGGGGCTTGTGGGTGGTGGGCGGGAGCTTGTTCGGCCTGCGTCAGTCTGACAATCACGCTCTGACAATCTCGGCCTGCGTCACATCGCCGGTACCTTGACGGATATGTGCCATCCCGATTGTCTTCAACTCTCGCTGCACTCACACGCATAAAAGACATGACAGAGAGACAAACAAGTCACACATCGCATACAGTATTACATATCACCACAAGAATGTGCACTTACCTGAGGGAGCTACATTCGGAGAGACCGGGGCTTGCACGGCCAACTCACCAGCACTACACGACACCTCGCAACAGTCGGGAAACTCCGAGCAAGTGCTGATGGGCCACCACTTGCGATGCAGACGACACAGAGGGGAATGTGGCGAGGCGCCAAGCGTCGTGCAAAACGGTGGAGAAAAGTGGGATGCGGGCAGAAAGCTGACGCAGCGAAATCAGTATAAATTTAGTGTCCGCGGGCTTGTCTCCATCGCGCCGTCTCGGCCGAGAATTTCAATGGTGTCGACGTTTTCGAACCAGGATTGCCGGAAACGGCAGCGTCTGCATTGCTGTACAAGAACGAAGACGTTAAAGGCCAAACAACGACCACAAACAGACCGTGACCAACACGTTACCATAAGAATGCTCACTCACCTGACAGAGGCGCTTCCAACGCGAGAAACAAGCCTTGAGTGACGCAGTGCGCTCGTCAGCTGCTCGGCATTTGGCACCAGGCAGGCACCAGAAGGCTCGGCAGATGGCGAGGCGCAATGGATGCGGCTTACGTCGGTAGAAAAAAGTGGCGGCCGCCATTTGCTGATGCAGGGTGGGCTAGGCGCATAGCCCAAGCGCCAGGCAAAAGGATCAAGAACTGAAGGAGATACGGGCAGAAGAATGCCGAAAAAGCTGATGCGCGGCGAAACTGGCGATAAATTACTAGCTTTTCGAATTCCGGGGCTGTCTCGGCCATCGCGGAATTCTCGCCGTCTCCGGACGCGAATCTCGAAGCATTCCGAGCCCAGGGGCGGAGAAGGGTTGCTGCGAACGGCACAGAAATGCAAATGCGGACATATGTCACACACAAATGTTGCACAAACGAGCCATGGCAAACGAGTCAGCTCTCGTGGCCTTCTTGCTCTTGGATGGGGCTGAAAATGCTGGATTTGAGCAAAGCAGCCCCTGAGCATCCTCCATCATCCTCCGCGACTTGAGAGTGGCTCGTGGGCTTGTACAACAATCAGCAGTGTGGGCTTCTACAACACTCAGCAGTCAGCAGTGGAATCAGCTCGTCCCTATTTGCTTGCTTTACTCAGACTTGCTGGACGCAATTGCTGGACAGGGGACGCCTGGTGCAGCGTGACCGTTGATTCTGCGTGCTCGCATATACTGCACCCAAGCTAGGATAACAGCGACATGGGGTCTGCTGTCGGACAGGATGCGAACGGCCGCCATGTGTTCGCTGGACATGTTGTCTGCCAGCACAGAGTCATTCGTTCAAGGGACCATGCACACCATCGTGTTAACAAATGCACACACAGCGATGGTCAGCCAATTGGTCAGCCATCAGTCCAGCTCTGCAATTCGGCAACTAGATGTCCATTGCAGCATTGTCTGTCTGTCTGTTCGAACTTTCGAGAACTGAAAAACGGCACCAAGCTCACTGAAGATACACACTATACACACCCACACCCACACCCACGCCGCTGTCCTCACAGGACCACCTCCAGCAGCCCACATGCGCCGCATTTGATGAACAGCGCCTCGTAGTCCTCATTCAGCTCAAACTGAGCCGTGGCCATGCAGTATTGACTGCACACAGAGAGAGGGAGAAACGGTGCAGCCAAGGAAGACCATGTGTGGGAGTCTATCTGATCTCACCTGTGTTCCTTGACGGCCGCGTCGAGGCGCTCCCGGACTGCGTCGCGATCCAGGCCTCATCCTGACCACACACAGACAAGGAGCAATCGGTGTGCCCACCGGCTCTGTGTCCGTGAGTGTGTGGGTGTGTGGGTGTCCCTGCACCCACCTGCACACAGAGCCTGAAGCCGCAGCCGCCGACCTTGCACATGACGGTGCCATAGCGCACATCGACAGTCTGCCGACCGCACAGTGGACACACAACTGCACACAACCAGGCATCCACACCAACAACCGTGCACAGCATTTCTGTCGGTCGGGGTGAGCTTACTGTTGTCTTGTTCCCGCAGCCGCCATTCCTCCTCGAGTGCGGCCGACTCCTCGTCCAGATCAGCGTCCTCGCGAGCCAAATACTCCTCCCCCTCTGAACCAACACACACCAACCACCAACACACTCACGGATGCTCTCGTGTCAGGCAGCTTTCGTGCCCGCCCACCGACCCTGTATTTGCATTTCCTCCTTGATCGATTGCTCGATGAACAGCAGCAGGTCGATGTACTCATCATCCGCCAGCGTAATGGCCACATCGGCATCGTCCTCGCGCATGCTGATGTCCAGGGGCTCACGGACGGCTCGTCTGGCCTCTCGCACAGACGGCAGGGAGGGCGAGGGCGGCAGGGCAGATGACGGCCGCTCCTGTTGGTAGGGCGCCTGGGGTGTGGTCGACGCCTCTGCGATGCTATCGTTGTAGACATCGAGGCAGCTTCAGCGATCTGGTGAGCCACGTCACGGACCTGTGGACACACACAGAGCACCCAGATGCATGATGCGCCCTCCTCCCTGATCCCTCCTCTCTCCCCACTGACCCAGTTGCCCGTCACCGCATCCGATTGTGTGAGCTCAACTCTGCTAGCAAAACAACAAAAACTGGTGGCTCTGGACGTATTGTGTGCTGAATGCGATGAGTGCGTTGTGCTGCTGACCTTCTGTAGTCGTCGAGCAGCCGCTGCCTGTCTTGCTTGAGCCGCTCCAGGCAGATCCGCCGCAGCTCTTGCTTGGCGCGGGGCGTCCAGTCCCTCTTGACGCCCTGCCGCACGCCAACACGGGGACCATCGCCAGCAAGCGACATGAGCCGACGAACAGTCCGCAGATCGAAGCAGATTGGATTCACTGAGGGACTACTGGCATCATGGTGATGCTATGCTCCTTCATGGGCCTCTCCTTTTGCAGCCAAAGCATTGCGAGCTGCAGAGATGCTCTGCAGCTCAGCTCGCAAGTGGGCAAAGCGGATGATTTTGCGCTTCTGATGGGGCCATGCTACTGGCACTCCTACTGATCTATCAACTACAGCTCTGCACAAGCTTTATTCGACCACAGGACATCCGCCATGTCGGCAGCAGACACCGAATGCTCGGCAGATTGGCACCCAGAGCGGCCGCAGGGGATATGCACCGCTTCTCAGTGGCTCCCATGATGGACTACACCGACAAACACTTCCGCTTCCTCATGAGGCTGCTCACACGCAACGCGACGCTGTACACAGAGATGGTCGCCGCCAACGCCCTCTACTACACCAACCGCCATGCAGCAGCTGACGCCACAGCCGATTCCATGATTCCGCGATCTCTGGCGACGAACGCCGAGAGCATCGAGTCGCCTTGTGTGCTGCAGCTGGGCGGATCTGACCCTGATGTCCTCGCAGAAGCGTCGCGGATGGCATCGACATATCATCCTTTCACAGAGATGAATCTCAACTGTGGCTGCCCGTCGGAACGAGTCGCTGGCAAAGGGGCTTTCGGTGCGGCACTGATGCGAGAGCCAGCTCTCGTTGCCGAGCTGTGCAAAGCGATGCGGCAGGGCGGGGGGCGGCCGACCACCGTCAAGTGCCGCATCGGCGTGGATGACCATGACTCGTTTGAGGAGCTGCAGCGGTTCATCGCTACCGTGGCTGAGAGGGCGCATGTGTCCCACTTCATCATCCACAGCCGCAAGGCCATCCTCAGCGGCCTCTCGCCAGAGCAGAACCGCAAGATCCCGCCACTGATATACGAGTACGTCTATCGGCTGGTGGAGGGCTTCCCGGGTCTCCGGTTCACGCTGAATGGCGGCGTGCTGACCTATGAGGACATCGACACGCACTTTGAGAGGTGCCCGACACTGACTGGGGTGATGGTGGGGCGAGCGGTGTTGGACAGGCCCTTCTACTGGAGCGAGGTCGACTCGCGCCTCCACGGCAGAGACAACCCGGGGCTCAATCGACGAGAGGTACACTGCAGAAGATACTAGGACCTTCTGACCTCCCAAACACTCTTGTGTGTGTTTGTGTGTGGTGTGTGTAGGTGTTGGCTGCGTACGGCAGCTACTGCGATGCAGAAATGGAGCGCACCGACCCGTCACGGCAGAGGTCTCTCCGCAATCTGCTGCTCAAGCACGCTCTCAACCTGTTTGCTGGCGAGCCCATGAGCAGGAAATACAAGCAGCGAGTCGAGGCGTTGCGGCAGCGGGGTGACGTGTCTGTGTCGGCCATCCTGAGTGAGGCGGGGGAGCAGCTGCACGAGGGTGTGCTCGAGAGGCGGCCTGGGAGTGAGGGGCAGGTTGCCGCTGACTGCAGTGACAGTGTGTTGATAGGGAGAGAGATGGGTTGATGTGTTGTGAGTCGTGTGTTTCTGCGACATGGTCGTTGATTGCATCACTGTGCCTCCTGTATGGCGTGGAGGATCTCCTCTCTTGTCTTGTCGATGCTGGCAACACAAGAGTGGAGAGCCTGGACGTGGCTCAGGAGGCACAGTGTGTCCATTGTGCATCTCGGTCGAGACAAGTTGAGTGACATTCTGTCCATGTAATGGCTGTGTCAGGTTTGGGCCGGCTAATCTGTCACGTTCACGCACACGTCCAAAGAGGGCACCAAATACCAGTAGTGGTCGCTGTGGTCGCTAACCATACTGACACTCGAAACCAACACCGCATGTGCGATGTGATCCATGTGATGTCTACTTAGCAATCTATCAGTCGAGTCCAGTCGAGTCGGTCTGTCTGCCCGCCTGCCTGCTGGTCGAGTGAAACCAAATCGAGTGAGAGTTACAGTCTCACTGCTGGCAAGAAATGCATCTCAAATGGCGGACCATCCATCCACCTACTCACATGCACTGCCTGCACGGGCAAACGCTTTGCTATCAGGTTACAGGACCACTGCAGTACTCAACGCTACGCTAATACACGGCACTCTATCAGCCAGTCAAGTTGGTCTACCTATCTTCCTGCAAGTCAGTGGCACAACATCCATCCATCCAGCCATCTGAGCGCAGTGAGTGAGCGCGGCGGCACTCACTGCACTGCACTGCATGACGCACAAACTGGGAGGGCAGCTCGTTAGTGTCAGCAGCAGCAGCGGAGTCCGTCTGCCACGGAGGTCATGTCATTCGTGTAAGTCAGTCACACACGCACCACAGACCAAGCCAGCACATACACCAAGGACATCCATCCAGCTGACCAACACACACGGGCAAAAGACATCCACACGAACCCAGCCCTCAAGAGGCGTACGGAGCGTCTCATCGGGCAGCACGCACGACAGAACGAAACACGGACGGACAAATGGACCTGCGCATCGCATCCACATCACTCGCTGCCTCCCTTTTTTTGTTGTATGTGTGCGGCACAAAAAATAGTAAGTCAGCAAGGACAAGAACCCCACGCTCACGTGTAACGTCACGTGTACACCACACCAGCCATGCACCCACCCCTCCTGCCAGCCAGCCAGCCAGGCTGCCAGGCTGGACACTCGAGCCTCTTGGTACCAACCAAAAATATGTATCATGTATAGCCATACTCACGAGCCATCGCCGTTGGTTCGTATGCAGCGTGGGCTGCCTGCCTGCCTGCCTTCATGTCAGAGCCAACCCACCCACACGCACTGATGAGAGGCGACCCGCCGACACTCTCCAGATGCTCCCCCTCGGTGGATTGCGGCCTTAGGCCGCTCCGCCACGACACCATGGCTTTTGACAGTATGGCTCGTGACCACGATAAGCGTGGGTCGACTGAATCAGACACCAAGTCCACTCCTGCACCACAACCACAGCAACCGATCGATACATGAACGTCATCCATCCATCAATGCATTTGTGCGCATGGACTCTTCTGCTGTGGTCAATCGCTCACCGACTAGGGATCTGAGGCTGTACAAATGGCTGCATAGTTCTCAGGGATGTGATCCTCCCGATGCCGATGTCGGGCCGCTCCGCAACGAACGCACCTGCCCCTCCGACCGCTCCAGCTGACGGTAGTGCAGTGCCCTGGCTCCTCAGTCAGGTGACCTGCCCGGCGACCACCCTCGCCCCCTCCACCTCCGCCGGCACGCCACGCATGTCCATGGTGCCCCTGCGGTGGACAGCGTCGCCCTCACCGGGCTGCTGCTGCTGGAGTGGTAGGGCCACCGATCGTGTGGCGGCGGGCATGGCAAAGTCGGGGCCGGTGACCTGCTCCTGGCGCGACGGACGGTGGAAGAGGGGAGTCTGTGCGCCAGAGGAGCTTGGTGGTGCTGGGCGTGCCGTTCACGGCACCTGAAGGCATTCGTAAACACATCGCACACACAGACAGACAGACAGACAGATGCACCCGTCCATTCATCCAAGATGCAGGTAGGTCCGTCTTTCTGTCTGTCTGTCTGCCTGTGCGTGCTGTGTTTCACTTACCGGGGATGGAGTGGTGGCGAAGAAGGGCTGCCGTCCAGCCGAACTCTAAAGGCACGCACTCCCGGAGGAATGACTTGCCGATGAAGGCACGCACTCCCGAAGGAATGACTTGCCCGAGCCAGCCAGACAGACAGCCAATCGCCTCCACCTACACACACAGACACAGACACACACAAACAGATACACACACAGACAGAGACACACAAGTATGTGCACACGCGAGATGAGCACATTTTCGCGTACGGTCATACGCGCCTACCTCCCGAAGCGCCAAAGATGACCGACATGTTGACTCCTCGAGTGTTTTCCGGGCGGAAGGCCGCGAAGAGGGGCCGGAAGCCGGTTGAGTGGAGCTGCACGTTGATGCCGCGGCGGGACTTGCCTGTGGCGACCGCCAGTCGGACACCACATGGCGCCTGCTGGTGGGGCCGTGGGCGAGACGGTCTCCTCCAGCTGCTGCTCGGGATTTTGCTCTTCTTCTGTCAGTGTTTCTCTCTCGCCCTCCCCCTCAGCTGGTGGCAGCAGCAGTGGTAATGCCGACGCGGGAAGGTGGCCCGCAGGAGGGAAGGGACGTCCTCAGGGCGAGGGCGGGGTAGTTCCACCCACAGCCGAGAAAACACGGCCGACGGATCGCTGCACACACACACACACACACAGCGCATGCACTGGTATGACTCAATGGTCGCGATGCCCATTCTCTTGGGTCACCTTTGCAATGCTGTGCGGTGGTCCACGAAAACTTCCTGACGGCCCGTAGGTAGGTCTCCCGCACCTGGATGTCACATCGCACTCACTCGACTCACCGCTGCCCTCCGCCGCCCCTCCCCTGTGCTCCAGGAAGGCCTTCACGACAGCTAGGGTGCCGTTGGAAGGCTGTTTATCGCCCTCTGTTGGTCTGGCGGGGTGGCTTCGCCGGTCGGAGACAAAGAGGTAGGTCTCGCCGGGTAGGTCTGCCTCCATGGACACCACCACCGGGCCAGGTGACCGGCCGACGGGCTGGATGACCACCCCGGCCCTGAGCGACTACCTCGCTCGATGACCGCTTGCGCTTGAGGACCAACCTGAACCAACAAGAGAACAGACACATGCAGACAGACTTGTGTGTGTGGTTGTGTGGTGTCGTGTCGCCTTCGCTTACCCATGCAAGATGGACGTTTGTGAGAGGAAGCAGACGTTGTTTCTTCTTTCGGCCCTCTTTTGGGGGCCTCTCTCTGTTTTGGCCTTCTTGTCGCGGGCATACCCGATGTCTTGCTGGAAGATGGTGTGAATGATGCGCTTGCACTGGCTGTCCCGTGCCTGCTGCGGCAGACGGTCATAGTAGGCGACGACCCTGCCGCGCTTCTGACGACAACACTAACAAACCATGACAGACACACATTTGGTTCCATCCATCCATCCATCCATGTGTGTGTTTGGCGCACTTGGTGTTCTCTCAGTGCGGCGATGCACAGCTCCTGGAAGAGCTGGCACCGCGACGCCACCACAGAGTCCAAGTCGAAGGGGGCCCGTATACTCATAGTTCACCAGGCGCCTCTTGACGCCCACTTGAGGCGCTTCCGGGTGTGCCGCTGTGTGCTCATTCAGCAGTCCGTAGTGCTCGTTGAGTGCGTCCACGGCTGCGTACACGTCCGCCCTTTTGCTGAGGTACTTGCGCAGACGAGTGATGGATACGCTGGTCTGCTTCTGGCCGTGCTTGATAATGAGCTCGATGAGGCCGGTGGCATCCAGCCCGAAGCCTCCATTCAACGCCACGGCGACCAGGTGCTCGTCGTACTCGCGGATATTGCGGACGTCCTCTGCGGAAGATGCGGCAGTGGCGGCACGTGCAGCATGATGCTGATGCTGGGATGAGGCGGACACGCCCATGGCTGGTCTCCCATGGCTCAGATCTCTGGTGCAGGCTGTCTGTAGCTACCCCTCTGGCCCTTCCTGGGCCGCCCCCGCCCCCTCTTGACAGGCACCTCCTCGACCACCACGTGATCGTCTTGCTCCATGTCCTCATCGCTGTCTTGATAGAGGTCGGGGTCATCGAGGTCCAGACCCTGCGACTAGCCATCGCCATTCTCATACACCGACTCGCTCTCGCCATCGTTAGAGTGCATGTCGGCGTCCGAGCTGGTCTTCCGGCCCCACCGGTCGCCGTCGCGCGGCCCCTGCTTGCGACGGTCGCCCTCTGTCCGCCCCTCCTCCTTTGCTGCCCGGCTTGAACTCGTCCCACTCGCCCCCGCCCCCTCTTGACTCGTAAACACACGCCCACGCACACGCAAGCTTGCCGCCCTTGCCAGCCTCCGGTGGAGCGTCGGTGACGGTGAGGGAGAAGTTTGCCTCGCGCCACTCGCAGTCCTTGAGGCCCCTCGACGGCGGATCGAAGACGCCCACGAAAGCAAACAGATGCCGCGGGAATGCGCTGTGGCTGACCACCACCACCACCACAGGGTCCTCTCCCACCGCCTTTTTCTCGTCCAGCAGCCGCTCAAACGTCTCCAGATCCTCCCTCACACTCCACCTCCTTCTACCCAGCCCATCTCGCCCTCCCCCTCGCCCTGCGATAGTGCCCACCCCCCCCTATAGTAGGGAGGGGTAGGTCTGTGCGATGAGGCCCTTGATCTCCTCGATGAGCGGGCCCAGCGATGTGTTGGCAGGTGGGTCGATGGTGGGGGGGGTGGAAGCGAAGCACGCCTTGGCCATCTTCAGGTCCAGCAGCTCGTCGGGCGGCCCGTTGTGGCTCCTGATGTCGCAATCAATGTCCTCCAGCAGCTTGCTGTGCAGCTTCTCCGCGTCGGCCAGGGCGTCCACCGCGCAGCCCCGCTGTGGCCACTGGGTGACCAGACGATGGAAAATCCTCTCCTCGACCTTCTCGACCTTCTCGACCTTCTCGACCAGCCCGCCGGCAAACCCCCGGAAGCGCTTCCCCCACGCAGGGTGGCCGGCCAGTGCGCAGAGGCCGACCGTCACGGCCACGCCGTACGTGTCGGTGTACTGGTCGGTGATCCTCCGCCAATGCTTTGCGCGATGGCGGTGCAGGTAGCAGAAGGGGAGGAAGGGCATGGCGGTGAGGAGCTCGAGCTTCTCGTGGGGCTCCTCCTTGTGGGGCTCCTCCTTGGGCAGCTCTCTGGCCATCTCGTGGTCAATTACGACCACGTCCACGCCCCCCCTCCCCTCTGCCGCCTCCGTCTCCTCCCTCCCGTCCGCCATCAGCAGGTTGCCGCCGTGGGCGTCGCCGTGCAAGAGGGACACCTCACCGCCCGCTCGGCTCCACACTCACGGCAGGTTGGTGCCGACGCCCCTGGCCTTCTTCCGCCAGTCGGCGGTGAGCTCGGCGACGTCCCAGTACGCCTCGCTGAGCATGTCAGAGTAGGGCTCAAGCTTGGGAGGGTAGCCGGCCTCTTCGGTGTGCTCTTTCTTGAGCTCGTGCAGGGCCTTGGGGGCGTGGTAGTGGTGCATGGCGGTCAGCGCCTTGAGCAGCGCCACGTGGATGGTGGTACGGGCAAGGGCCTGGACGGCTGTGACGATGACGGGCTTGAGTGGCTTGCCACGCGACAGGCTGAAGCAGGGCGGCACGGTTACGGTGGGGGTGATGGCCTGGCCCTGGCTGGTGAGGGTGGCGATGGCGGCCCGGGCGAGGGTGACCTCCACCAGGTTGGGCGCGTCGATGCCACGGAACTCTGCAGCCAATAGGGACACACAAAAGACAACAGAGATACACCGTGGCTGGAGAGTGAGTGTGTCATGCTGTCTGCGTGCTGTCTTCTTACTCATGATCTCTATGGCGTAGAAGGGACCGCTCAGCATCAGCGTCATCCATCCCGTCCCCTCTCCGTCACACCGCCATCGCTCGTTGGGTGCGGGCAGGCGGACCGCCACGGCCTCGCTGGGGTCGACGTAGCCCCTTGACAGCAGGCGGGGCGCGCCGAGCTGGCCTTCGAGGCGATGCAGCAGCTGTGCTTCGTCCTCGATGCCCATAAGCCGCTGCACCTTCTCCATCTCGTCGGCGATGAGGGCCTCTGGCACCTGGAGGGCCCGCAGCAGGCGATCTGGGGCCACGAACTTCACCAGGACCTCCGTCCCTCTCAGTGTCGCCCTCAGCGACACCGACCGGTCGTTAAAGAAGTAGGTGGTGGTGAAGTGGTGCTCCCCGAGGGCGATCTTCTTGCTGCTGCGGGGCTGCTGGACGGGTGCGGGTGTGGTTGCTGGCTGCGCGGGCTGGCTGGCGTGCTGCTGCTCCTCCTCCCTGCCCTCGTCGTCCTCTGCGTCCTCCTGCTGTGGGGTAGGCGGTGCAGCAACCGCCTCCATGCGGCCCTCCTCCTCTTCGTTGTCCTCTGCCCTCTCCCTGTCCTCTCCCTCCTGCTGCGGCGATGGCGCCAGTCCTCCTCGTCCAGCAGCCGGCTCCTCGGCGTCCTCTCCTGTCGGCTCGTGAACGGCCTCCTCGCCCCGAACGTCCTTATCCTCCTCCCTGCCCTCGGCGTCCTTATCCTCCTCCTGCAGCTGGCTGGGTGGGGCGCGGTCGTCCTCCTCCTCGTCCTCCTCTGCCCTCTCCTGTTCCTCCTGCTGCCGCTGGTGGCTCATGGCTGGCATGGTGCGGCATCTGTCCTCCTCCGCCTCCTCTCCTTCCCTCTCCCTCTCCTCCTCACGCTCCCTCCTCTCCTCCACCCTCCCCTCTCCCTCCCTGGCATTCGACGCAGCCGGCACCTCTGTGGTGGCCATCAGGATGGCGGCGATGTTGGGGCGGGCGGCCACGGCGTGGCGCTGCGGTGCTGCTGCTGTTTGTGGGGCACGGTGGGGCGCCATGGCGGCGGCGGGCGGAACGAAACCCCAGCCAGGGGCATGCACGGCCGACGCACCCGATGCAGCGATGGGAGGCGGCTGGCGGATGTGCTGCTGCATCAAATGGGGCGGGGCCGGCATGGCTGGTGGCGCATGCGCGCCGATGGGCGCCGCTGTCGCACCATACTGGTCCTGCCGAGCCCGAAGGCAAGGCGGACACACGAATGGGTTGACGCGCGTGCGCCAGGGGGCGCCACGTGTGTGCTGTGGGCGTGGCGGCTTCCGTGCTGGCGGCTTGCACCGCCTGTGAGCGGGATGCCGCTCGATTGGCCTGATGGGCACTGGGGGAGGCGTCGGCCACATGCAAGGGGGATGTTGCTGTGGATGCTGGTGCCGGTGGAAGGGCTGCGGCATGTTGAGGGCGGGTGCCGCTCCATAGACGAAGACCTGCTGCTCGCGCGCGAAAGACGGCATCGTCGTCGTCTTCGATGTCTTTGTGAGCAGCAGGTAAAGAAGAAAAGCTCGCAGATAAGCTCGCAAGAGGAAGGAGGAGAAGAAGAGGAAGGTCTAGATATGTAGCTGGGACCAGCTCATATTTTGAGGCTGATGACCAGGGACTGCAGGTACAAAATGCCAGGACGAGAGATCCATGCACGACGTCATTGATGCATTCATGGGTGCCGTGTGTGTCTGTGTGCAGGCAGCCGCCAGCACACGAGCTTTGAAGAGATGCTCTGACACAGGTGAAGGAAGCGACACTCACAGAGGCTCCCGTACTGGGCCATGGGTTGTGGCTGCGTGTCGTGCTCAGATGGAGGATGGTCTGGCGACGATTGAGGGCCGGCGCATAGCCGCCGACGTCGCTCCCCGGGTCAGAGATTCGTCCGATCACCACTGCAGAAATGACACTCCTTCTCTGTCTGTCTGTCTGTCTGTCCATGTCTATGGCCTCAGGTGCCGTCCGGCTCCTCTCACCTGTCCACTCCCACGAGCGGCACCGCGGCGGCTTCCAGTGGGTGGCCTTGAGGGTCATCACACGCCTGGCGGAGCTGTCGCCGCATCTAAATCTGTGGATGGGTAGTGGCGACAGGAGCTCTTCACTACCCGGGCGGCTGTGTGTCGGCTTCCCATCGCTGCCTGGGCGGCTTTCCCATTTGGTCGGATCGATCTGTGCCCTTTTCAGTCCGGCAAATCTGCGGCGCTGCTTATCGTCGTTTGGCTGATCTGTCGTCAAGTAGAGTATTTCCGTGCTAGACTTCCGTGTGAGTAGTCGCCTGCGTGAGTGTACACAGTGATGGAGAGATGAACAGCTAGAAGCGTCTTTGCGCTCTCTTGCTGGCCATCCTCGCAATTGGTCTGGACACCGTCCACACAAGTAAGAGGAGACGGGCACCACACACAGCACACAGGCCTGCACGCGCCTTTCTACTCCACTGCTGTCTTCCTGTGTGCAGGTTCGTCATCTGTCGTCGCAGCCCCACTCTTTTTCTGACCTGCCGTGACGACACCAGCAGCGGCTCATCAGCACTGCCTGCGTCGGCCATCAGTGCGCGTGTCCATCTGAAGGGCGGCAGCAGAGGGAGACTGATCTGACAGACACACCGCATGGACGGCTGTCTGGAGTCTGGCTGCAGTGACCGACGCCTCAGCCTCCGCCTGATGTCGGTCTTGGCGAGGCGTCTCGTGTGATGTTTGGGGCCGTGCTGGCCGAGCGGTGAGTGGATGAGCGATGTGGGCATCGACGACGTGAAGGAAATGATAAAGCCGCTCACAAGGACAAGAAGGGAAGGAGACAGACGGGAGTGTGGGAGTCATTCATCGGCTGTGCTGATACCTGACCAAGATGGCCTTACGGTCTGGAATTGAGCTGCAGCAGGTACGCAAAGGCAGAGATCCGTATGGATGCGACATTCATGGCGAAACGTCCTGTGGGCTTCTGAATTGGCTTTTGGTGTCAGATCCCATGAAGATCAGTGCCATCCCGTCGTGGCCGATGGATGTCATCCCGTCGTGGCGACCAGACGGTGGGCGGACTCGCTGGGACTGCGCGATGAGTGTGGACGCATGTGTGCCGCGTGGCTGCCAGTAGGGTGAGCTCTGAGGAGATGCAGCGACGCTTCTCGATCCCGCAAACAACAGCTGACACAGGTCAGGCAGGCGACGATTGAGAGGCCTCGGTACCACACACAGCTCGGCCATCGGATTTTTCTGGTTGCGTGTTGTGCTCAGATGGGGTGTGGTCTTGAAGACGATTGAAGGGCTCATTCGGTGCTGCATGGCGGCCACTCGACCCTGCCCCGCCCCTCCCAGCCAGCTGCCCATGCCACCCCCTCACACCGCACACACTCGAGGAGCTGTTGCCGATGGCGGCACTGCGGCTCGTCGGCCGGAGAGAAGTGCCTGCCGTCGCACCGTGTCAACAACATTCTACGGCACCGGCCTCGTTGATGGGACACGGATGTCACTCGCCGGTCGCCGCGGGGCCTCATCGACGTGCACCACGGCGCCGGGTGGTGAAGTGATTCGAGCTGGAAAGGGTTTCATCGATCGAGGGATGGTAGTGGCAGACGGGCAGTAGTGAGCAAGGAAGATGCAGGGACGGGTGGACTGGTCCTCGGGGTCTGCCTGAGGTGCACGGTGTTTGTATGGTTGAGTTCTCGGTTGCTGGGGGATTGGCGGCCTGGGTTGGTATCATAGCAGTGTGGGACACCAGGCAGTTGGTAGCCGCCTTGACCGACTCATTGCTGGAGGGATGCGCATACGTGTGTATACTCAATTCTGTCATTCCATCTAACTGAAGATGCTTGAGATTGCCATGGCGACTGCTGTCGGTTGATGATACTCGTTCGTTCAGTTGTCCGCAACACCATGCATTACTACCGGCCCACATGGTGGCCACACCAAAAGTAATGGAATGCAATACAGAGTCTGATATGGTGTGTGGGTGGCTGAGTGTATGTTGGGGGGTGGGGGGCGAAGAGAGCCAGCCAGGGGGGGCAGCCAGGGGCGAGGAAGTACAACCGGGCTGCGTCCCTCTCTGTGTGCGGTGTGTCAAGTGCCAGAGACACAGCAGAGTCCACTCCCCTCTCCCGCTGTCACGACCCGCAAAGAAAACTGGACTCCCCATATCACACATCCATGTATGAATCGTCTCAGCCCCTTCAGCCAGCCTACACGCCACTCCGCACAATCCCAAACGGTACGCACACACACACACAGGCACATAGGCACATAGGCACGCAGTCAGGCAGCTGGCTAGGGTAACGGCTGTGTGTATGTCAGTGTGCACACCCATGTATGTGTTGATGTGTTGATGTGTGAATGGTGTGTGTGTGTGTGTTGGGGTGCGTTGGTATGGTCAGACGGGCGGTCATTGTGTGCCGCCGTAGGAATCGCTGTAGACAAGAAACACACACATGGAGCATAACACGCACGTCGTCGTGAGCGGCCCTCACCAGTCAGTATGTGTGTGTATTGTCTATTCGTTTTTCTTTTTCTTCTTGGCCTACATTAGCGCTATGCGGCTGGCGTTGCGCTCCTCCCTCTCACGCCGCTCCTCCTCTTTCTTCTCCTCGTCCGCCACTGAGTCTCCGAACGACTCCGCCTGGCGGAGTATGGTATCGATACCCGGCTCCTCGCTTGCAGCAACTGACGTCGAGCCCGACGCCGAAGCTGGAGACAGCACAACACAGTGCAAGAGAGAGGCAGGCAGGCAGGCAGGCGATGAGCAGACATGCCTTGACTTACCTGCGCCGTCTGTGTTGAGTCCTGTGTTGGTGATGGTGGTGTTGCCTGCGGCCGTTGCTGGCACGACAGTAGCAGCTGACATGAATGAAGAGAGACACGTGCCCATGTGTGTGTGCGAGAATGCAGGTAGGTGTATGTGTGGCTCTCGTGACGGGAACTCCCTGAGTGCAATGCGTAGACATGTGTGGTGGGTGCATGGGATGGGGAGCGCTTTGGAAAGGCCGGCTGCTCACCTTGTTGGTGAACTCGTCCAGCACATGGTTGATTACGCTCTGAAAGGTCCAAGACAAAGCAGTGGGTTGTTCTCTCTTCCCTCTTCATCTGTGTGTGTGTGTGTGTGTGTCTACCGGGTCGAATGGTTTGATGATCTGGTGAAACGCGTTCTTGTTGATTGTGTAGGTGATCTCGATGCCACTGCAGCAGCCGAACAGACAGGAAAAAAGACAAGGAGGCGGTTCGGCCACACCTGAACACATCCATCCATCCATCCGTCCACAGTCGCTTACAAGCCCTGAGAGTGGACTTCTGTGACGGTGGAGTAGTTGATGAAGGCGAATACGTCGTTAGCGATGGGCTCGTTAGCTGGGAAGGACAGCAAGGAGAGGGAAAAGGCCAGCAATCGACGGCCTCTGTTTTTGTTTGCCCACTGTCTTCGTCGTAGAATGTGAATTTGAGGCCGTCACGCAGCATCTGAACTCTTCCCTGTGGGAACGCAAAGGTAGGCAGTGATGTGGTGTAGCGAGAACCAGTGAGTGTGCCTTGGCTGCTCACGTAGCTGTCAGCACCGTCAACAGTGACCCACGACGCAAATCTCTGGTTCTTGGGTGGCGATTTCTTTTGCGCTGAGAGAGAGAGAGAGAGAGAGAGAGACGGAGGGTGGGGGCGTGGGAGTGGGGTGCTTACCATCAGAGGACATGCTCCAACCACGGCGCTCTGACATACGGGAGCAAGAAGAAGGAAGGACCGCATCCACCGATACAGAAATCCATGAGACATCTCCTACCGCCACCAGTGGATGTCGCATGGTTTTTGTTGTCGGTAGTCTCGGCAATCATGTCGGCGATCCCCTGAGGTGAACATTCCAAGGATAAATGGCAGCGAGTACATGATGTCTCGTGGTCTTCTCGTCTCACCACGATGCGCAGCTTGGAATAGCTCAACTCGTCGAGCAGAATGGCTGCACTGCACATGTCGCTCTGCACACACAGGGAAGGGCCGCATCATTCTTACTCTATGTGTCTGTTTGTATGTGTGTCTGCGTGTATGTGTATCGACCTTGGCCTTGAATGCGATTTCGATCTCTGCCTCCGTGCGAGGCTCGCCAATCTCCCAAAAACGAATCGTCACGAACCTGACACGCACCAGGCACCACACACCACACACAGCATCCAATGGACACCGGAGGAGTCCTTACTGTTCGTATCCGTTCCAGGAGTCGAAACGATCGTAGTCCACACTGAGCGAGATGCCTCCGGCTGCACAGACACACCCGAGGAGGAGAGAGAGAGGGAGGGAGGGAGGGAGAGATCAATCACTCAGTCATCGTTTCCTCGTCACCTGCAGATTTCACGGTCAGACGTGTCTGCGAGATCTCGAGCATGCCCTGCACGCAGAACGAGGGACAAGACAGCCACACATCAGGTCATGACCGCGACGAATTGGTAGGTACGCACCGAGGAGATGGAGCCACCCGACTGGAATTCGATGTCAGGGTACGTGGCCACGAATGGGGTAGAGCGTGCCAGCTTGAGGATGTTGTGTGCGGCCTTGCCCGCGTCAGCCTGAGATGAGACACACAGGGGTGGAGAGAGAGGTGCATTTCGTGTTTCCTGTCGTGCGTGGTGTGTGTGAAGGGACCGACGTTCGCCACGAATTCGAAGGTGCTGCCAGCACACCTGCCGTCGCCACACTTCCACGACACGGTCACCATGCTGACACCCAACACCACACCACACCACACCACACCACACAATGCTGTCCGCACCGACATGTACATTGTATTATGTCGTGTCCTTACTTCTGCGTCACGCTCCAGTCAGCCATGCTGTCATACGGTATCGTCATGTCAGCACCGCCACCTGTCGCACAACACAGGGAAAACCGTATCGGTCGCGTCGCTATCCGCTCTGCTGCTCTGCGTGCGATTGGCATTACCGACAGCAGTGAAGGACAGCTTGGTTTGCAGCAGCTCAAGCCTGCCCTGCACACACAGCGGAAGACACAGAGTGTGCCACACATCACACCTATTAATGAAGAACAGTGGCTATCTATCGTGCGGTGCAACGAGCTCACCGAGCCCCCATGATGGCCCTCCACGTGGTGCTGCACGTTGTTGAATGTCGCAACGGCTGAGTGAAGAATGCGGCGCATGACATCCATGAGTCTCTTAGCAATGCCTTTCTTTGCCCACGCTGGAAGAAGATGCTATGGAATCGCGAGTATCCTGCAGCCACCAATGAGTGAGAGACATGCGGGTGTGAGAGGGAGAGGCGGTGAAGCTGGCCACGTGTGGTGTCTTGTGGGCGCCCCAAATGCTTACTGAGGTCGGGTTCGTCGGCGCCATCACCACCAACACCACTGGCACCGTCAGATGCACCTACATCGAACAAGAAGACGGACAATGCAGAGGCCGACACACGAGTGATGGTGAGGCGTCGTGTTCTGTACCCACGACTTCGAGTTCCTTGACCTTCGAGTGGCCACCTGCAGACAAACAGCAGCACAGAGCAAGAAGGCACGGAGGGCGTTTGGTCAGCGTCGCGGTTCTTTGTCTTTTGCTGTGGCTGTGTGTCAGTGGCGGGTTGTTACTCTTGGTGTCCACCGCCGCCGCACGCATCTGTAGGCGACCAGAAATGTGAGGGGGTTGTGTAACGTGTTTGCAGTGTATTGTGTAACGTGTTTTGTCTTTTGTGTACCTACCTCACTGACACCGAACAGGCCTCCACCAAACACATCGCCACCAAACACAGCACCACCACCGCCACCACCACCACCACCGCCACCTCCTGCACACAGAAAGAAGAGAGTGTAGGTAGGTACATGCGACTTCAAGTATGTCAGCCAGCCGTGACTTCACCTACCCATGAGCTGGTGCGACATCAGCGTGCTGCTGCCGCCGCCAGACTGTGGGGGAGAGGCCCGCGACATGCCTGATACACAGAAGGACAGCAGCCATACAGACAGACAGACAGACGTGCTCGGAGCCTTGCTCATTCCCTCACCTATCATGGCAGCCAAGTTGAAGTTGCCTACACGGACAAACGCGCATGGATTGGATCCACAGCACACATGAATGCATTCATTGATGTGGCGGCATGTTCGGTGCCCCTCACTCATGTGCGTACCGGGGCTTGTGTATTTCTCCTGTGCTCCCTTCTTGGTCAGACTCTGCAGGCCGACGAGGGGCGACTTGGTCTTGGTCTCTGCAGCACAAGAACAAGGGACGATGTATTCTGGACGGGTGTCCTCCCATCCCTCCCGACTCATCCCGTTCACCTTCCTTGCCGTGAGCCACAGTGTCATCGCCTTCTGTGGGTGGGATGGCCGCCGGGGCGCTCGCGCTCCTCTTGAGAGCGACGAACTCCTCTCCTGAACCCGCATCGCACAAACGGCATCAGGGCATCCAGTTCTCTGTCGTGTTGGTCTCACCGGCGTTCATCAGCCCCACACTCGAGAGATCGTCCTCACCTACGCGGCATTTGCACTGCATCCATCCATGCATCGGTGACGAACTTCAGGCATCTCTTACCACCACGACCGACAGCAGATCCCTGGTCCACCTTGAGCACAGCCGGCTGGTCGACCGCCTTTGTAGCCGGGTGCTCAACCGCCTTTGCCTTATTGCCCTCCATCACGATCAAGCCGTCCCTGAGGGGCTTCGGCGTTTTCGTTTACGCGAGGGTAGGGTATGGGGGGGGGTCTCAGTCTCACTTTTTGTAGACACATCGAATTATCGACACCCACGGCGTGGCATGACACAGCACTGGTTCCTCGCTGCGTCATGCAAACAATGCCTCAACCTGCTCGAGGGACTTGCCCTTGGTCTCGGGCACGCAGCGACACACGAACACAATGCCCAAGGCACACATGGTGGCATAAAACATATGCACACCGCCCTGCGTCAGCGCACTCTGCAGGCTCAGGTAGGTGATGGCCACAAGGGACGATACCAACCTGAGAGAACCGACACGACACAACACAACATACACAGCATGAGATCCGCCCACTGCCTGTCTCTCTCTCTCTCTGTGTGTGTGTGTGTGTGTTTGTGTGTCTGACCTGCAGACGAGCATAGCCATGCTCATGCCCTTCCCCCGCAGGCGCATTGGAAAGACCTCTGCCGGGATGATGTAGGCCATCGGACCAACACCCAGCGAGAACGACGAAACGAAGCCCATGAACGCTGCCACCTTCAGATAAGGGGCGTGGGCGAAGAACCACGCAGCTACGGCGAATGTGTAGAGGCAGGCACTCATCATCAGACAGCTGATCAGCAGCAGGGGGCGCCTGCGAGCAAACCATTAACAGTCGGGGCGTCTGTCTGCCTTGGTCTCTGACCTGCCCATTTTGTCCACGAGGTATGCGGCGACGACAACGAAAGAGACCTTGACGATGCCGATGAGGATGGTGCCGATGAACACCTCCTGCTGGGTCGACAGGCCCACCTGCATCAGGATGATGTCGCTGTAGTAGGTCGCCGCCTCCACGCCCGTGATCTGGGACAGCAGAGCCACACCAAGACCTGTTCAACACCAGACACACACATGGAAAGAGGTCAAGTCAAGGGAGGGCTCCTTCCATTTCGTATGTACCTGTGAAGACCATTCTTCGCGCCTTTCCGTCTTGTGGGCACAAGACGTCAAGCCATGAAGCCCCCTGCTGGCTCTCCTGCTTTTGCGCCTCATGGATCTCATTCATGGCCTGAGGCAGGACGAGACACACACGCACAGGACGAGAATGGACTTCTGCCTCTGCTGCACGTAGCTGATCACGTCCTTCCCCCACCCATTCACCTTATTGATCTCTGATGCGCGCGTGACTTGCATGAGGACGGCGGCAGCCTCCTCATCACGGCCGCGTGACATCAACCAGCGTGGCGGCTCGGGAAGACCAGACACACCTGCACAAAACACAAAACACAAAACGCAGCCGTGCGCACGGCCATGGATGGCGACATTCGTCTGCGTTGTTCTTCTTGTTCTGCATGTACCTAATAAAATGACGACAGGAGGGATCAGCCCCATTCCAATCATGAAGCGCCAGTTGACGGTCGGCGGCAGGTCCACATACACGTAGTTCATGACGTAGCCCAACACGATGCCCACGTTGATGGAGATCTCACACATGGTCGTCAGGCCGCCCCTCAGCTGCGCGGGGCTTATCTCCGCGGCATACAGGGGTGTGATGACCAGACCCGCACCCACACCCAGCCCCGTGATCATTCTCCCGAGCAACAAGTACTCGAACGTCGGCGTAAAGGTCATGAGAAGCCCGCCAGCGATGAAGGTGAGCGAGGTGTACATGACGCAGGCGCGACGGCCGTAGGAATCAGCGATCTGCACGAAGAACACACAGACAGGAATGGGAATGAGGCGTGTTGTCTTTGTGTGGCATGCATGGGATTGACCGACTGACCGACCATTCCAGCCAAGATGACACCGCCAGTGGCCACCAAGTTCAGAATCCCTATCGTCACCTCCGTCATGAAATCACTCAGTCCGAAGGACGATTTGACAAAGACAATAGCCCCCGCCATGACGCCGATGTCATAGCCCAAGAGTGCAGACGTCAAACAAACGAACCCAACGCAAAGCACCACGAAACACGCAGGCGGCACCCGACACCTGCTCACAGACGGTGGCCCCTGATGGCCGCGGTGCTTGGGTGGCGACCTCCTCTTGGTGGCATAGCCGTGTTCTCTGAGCTTTGTCCGCTCGCCGAGTGACGTTGACGATGTGTGTGTGGAGGTGGGGGACGCATCGGTGCTGATGGGGGGCGGGGGGAGGGGGGTGAGCGTGATGCTCGGAGGGGGCAGACAGATGTGGGGAACAGCAGATCTGGCAGACATGGATGGACACGAGAAGAGAAGTGTGCCGGGTAGCGGTTGACGGTTGCTTGGTTGGGTCGCACGTACCCGTAAATGGTCGGTACAGGGCCATCTGTCGGCCTCGGTGTCAGCACTATCTCCCTGACGAAGCATACAGATGCAGGCAGGCCTCAAGTGTGCGCCATATGGAGCCTCTGTTTGCTGCGCACCGGAACTCGGCCTCGTGTGATGAGTGCGTGACGATACTGACGTTGGACTCGCGCCGCAGATAACGCGGAGAGGATCTCCGAGTGACGCCCCTGAACCAAACGGGCCAGACGCACACATCACACACTCAGAGCATCTCGCTCTCCGTCGTGCTCTTCACCTGGGCGTCAGGTCAAGGTCATCGTCTTCCTGAAGGCACTCGTGCAGCACCGTGAACCCATTGATGAGCGAAGGTGAACAGGGAGGCGACACACTTGGCGAGATCTTCTGCAGATGTAGCAACGAAACGAGCACATGAAGATGAAGATGCCTGCAGTGGCTCGTGACGCGCACCTGTTTGTGATTCTCTGCCACATCTTCCCATGAGGTTTCGGACACAAACCCGTCATCGGTGTTTTCCTCAGAAAGTGGCAAATATCGCTGCCCCGGCGCTCTGCCTCTTCCTTCAGCCCTCATCTGGTCCTCCCCTCCTCCGCTTCCCCTTTCTGTGACCTTAGCTCGCAGAGATCTAAGCTCGCAGAGATCTGCTGGCCTTTCGGTTGCCTCTGTGCTCTGATTCGTCATGGCGAAGAGTGCCCTGGCGATAGGAGGGTGCGGTTTCCTCGGCCGCTGCCTCGTACCGATGCTCCGGGAATGGGGCTACCGCGTCGCTGTCATGGACCTGGCGCCCAACTGCTATGAAGCACACACGGTGGGGAGAAACGTTGCAAGCAAGAGAGAGATGGGCAGGTGTGGTGCATGTCGATCTGTGCTTTGCGCTGTGCAGGATGTGTCGTATGTGCACGGTGATCTGACGTCGGCTGCTGACCTCGACAGGGCGATGGGCGGCATCGATGTGGTCCTGCACGTGGCGTCGCCCAATCCGCAGAAGCTCGACAGGGCCCTCTTCCAAAAAGTCAATGTGGACGGCACTCAGGTGAGTGAGTGAGTCCAACAATACACACAGATAGACATCTGGGCCAGGCCATCTGCATGACGAACGAGTGTGTCGTGTGGTCCAGGCCATCATCGCTGCCTGCGTCCGCAATGGCGTGCCGTGCCTCGTGTACACCAGCTCGGCCAGTGTGGTGTTCGGCACTACGGGCCTGGAGGGGGCGGACGAGTCCATCCCCTACCCTGCATACCAGCCAGACGACTACAGCCACTCCAAGATGCGGGCAGAAAAGGTCAAGCAGGCAGGCACACACACGCACACTCTTTTTGTACATCGCTGTCATAGGGTTTGTGTGTGTGGTGGGGTGCATCCGTCAGATGGTGCTGGATGCTCACAGCGTGGGCGGTCTGCACACGGTGGCGTTGCGGCCCCACGGCATCTTTGGCATCGACGACCCTGGCTGCATGGGCGGCTTCCTAGAGGCAGGCCGCAAAGGCAAACTCAAGACCATACTCGGCAATGGAGACAATGTCGTCGACTTCACGTAAACGAAGTCACACTCGCGCTGTGTGACAAGACAATGTCGTCGACTTCCTTGCTGTGTGTATGCAGGTGTGTGGAGAATGTCGCTCATGGTCACGTGTTGGCTGCGGATGCGCTGCTCAAGGATGGCGGGGCGTCGAGGGTGGGCGGCAAGGCATACAATCTCACCAATGCCGAGCCCATTCGCTTCTGGAGCTTCGCTGCCAAGATATGCGGAGAGATGGGGTGCGTGAATGACACACATCTGCAGCCAGTCACATGCATGTGCTGTTTGGGTGGTGTCAGGTTCGATGTGCCTCGTTACAAGATCCCCTACTGGCTTGCACTGGTGGCTGCCAACGTCTCCGAGGCACTCATCGGCGAAGACGCCCACCTTACAGTCAAAAAGTACACACAGACACCACCGCAACACCACACACACGACCGTGCCACATTCACTTCCTCTCCTGTGCTGTGTGTGAGCAGGGTGCGTCTGGCCGGTCTGCCCCACTGGTACCGTTGTGATGCGGCACAGAGGGACTTCGGTTATGCGCCGATTCTGTCGCTCGAGGACGGCCTCAAGAAGGCGTGCGCAGCCGCAAGGGAGGCGCAGGCACAGAAGGGCGAGACAGCCAAAGTGCCACCGAGAGCACCGCCACCGAGTGAGGAGGCAACAAGAAAAGAGAGGAGGAAGGACACGTGAGCGGCGTCTGTTGCTTCGTGTATGGGGTGTCCGTCAGGCTGGCTGCGGTTTGGCGGTTTTGGTGTGTCGCTTCTCGGCCAGGTGGTCAGGCTGGTTGCCGCTGTGTCGCTCGTGTGCCGCCTGGGGGGCATCCCACTGTCCATCACGCTGCCCTTTGGCCTGGGGGCCGTGCTTGCCTGGTCATCTTGGTCACTTGCTGGGGTGATCCTCGGCACATCCCTGGCCGTCATGGCCATATCCATCGTCACAGGGTGAGCAAAGGAAGCCACAAGAGGTGCTGTTGGAGTGCGTATGCCCGGTTGTTTCCCCTCAGAGCGGACCCCATCCCCGAGATCAGTCCCTATCCGATTATCGGAGTGATTCCCGACTTCGCCAAGAGTCCCCTGGCAGTGCTCAAGAGGGCGTCGAGGGAGTACAGGGATGTGTTTCGGCTCAACCTGGGTGGCATGCGCATCACATTCTTCACGGGCACCGACGGCCTGGACGTCTTCTTCAAGAGTAGAGACACACAACTCAGCCAAAAGGAGGTCTACAAGGTAACTAGACGAAGCGAGAACAGTGGCCATCGTGTGCATGAGGCTTCATGTGTGTGTTGTGTGTGGCCATCCATCCATCCCATCAGCTGACGGTGCCCGTGTTTGGCAAGGGTGTGGTGTACGACGCCGATCTGGATGTGCGTCTGGAGCAGTTCCACATGCTGACGACGGGGCTGTCTGAGCGACACATGAAGAGATACGTCGGATACATGGTCAAGGTATCCATCCACACCGAGGGATGGCACCATCACACACACACACAGCCTCATGTTGTGATGCGGCTGTCCGTGTGTGTCGGATATAGGAGTGTGAGATGTACTTCAGCCGCTGGGGCGACTCGGGGGAGGTCGACATCGGCGAGGCGTTCGCGGAGCTCATCATACTCACCGTACACATACCAGCCACCACACATGGATGGAGGGAAGCATTATGTAGCGGCACGGCCTCTCGCTTTGTCTCCTTCTGCAGGCGAGTCGCTGTCTGATGGGTCGTGAGGTGCGCGAGCAGATGTTCGAGGAGGTGGCCAAGCTCTACCACGCTCTCGAGGAGGGCATCACGCACATCGGCTTCATCGCACCCTGGCTGCCCATACCCAAACACCTCAAGAGGGACAAGGCGCGCAGGCAACTCGTCGACCTCTACTCTAGGGTGGGCAAGCAATGCAGCCAGACAACACAATGAATGCGCTTGACCCGATGTGTGTGCAGGTGTTGCGGGCTCGGCGTGCAGCAATGGCTGAGAAGGATGCGTCGCTGTCGACCGAGACGCAGTCGACCACACAATCGCAGGAGGACAAGACAGACGATGAGGACCTGGAGCACGACGTCATTGAGGTGAGTGGGCAAGACAGACGGAGGGGATCACCTCACGGGCAGGCACTTTTGGTGGCGTGTGTATGTGTGCAGGTGTTGCTCAAGAGTCGTTACCGTGACGGCCGTGCCCTGACCGATGATGAGCTGTGCGGCATGCTGATTGTCCTCCTCTTCGCCGGGCAGCACACCTCATCTGTTACATCACTTTGGCTGGTCGGCCACACACACACACCCCCCCCCCCCA